GCCAATGAAACCCTGAAAAACATACCACACTCAAATTTTGGCTCACATATAATCCCTGCCATTGCCAAGGTCAACGAAAAGGATCAGCTTCTGATTTCGAACATCCCTACGGTCATCACAATGGGCAAAGCATAGTACAAGTCAATCTTGAACAACTCGGAGCGGGGTCAAACATGCACATGTGCACTAAGAGAAACCACAGTTCACCCCCACAACAAAGCTGCAGCCTGCAGAAAGGCGTGATGAAAAACCCAAAAGCGGCTTGACCCTAAGTCCGGCATACTTCGGCGAGGCTTCGGACAAGTTCCGGTGTAAACACCTAGACGGAACCCAGCTCTCCTCAATTCTTTCAGCTCCCGCATCCCACCTGGAACTTGTTATCAGGCAACACGAGTGTGGGTCCGTGTGCTCAGAAACGTATGCACATGTGTATATATATATACATGATGCGCTGCGTCTGTCGGCACAGGGTAAAGAAGATCTATTTGCAAACAGACGCGCTTCGGTCAAGCGCAGACCCCTGCATCCTGGCAGTAAGCCATCTGGTCTCTGATCATTAGATGAACATGTCCTCAGGGACGCACTTTTCGGCGTTATCTTAAGAGAAAAGAACCGCCAACGGGCGCCATGCTCTTTGAAACCCACTCTGCATAAGCATGACACACAGTTAGATTCTTCGATGAACGGCATTGCGACCAAAAACTGATATCGAGATCTCCATACCTTCACAGTCTGTTTATCATGCCCCAAACCACAAGTCACGCTGAAACTTGTCCATCGTGATGTAAAAGGGCAAATAAATGCACATTGTTGACAAGATGAAAGTCAGCAACCATTGTTCATTGGCCCCAGCAAAAATGCAACAATGTCTGCTTGGCGGCAATTCGGTCAATTCCGTGCACTGTTTTTCCTGAAAGCATTGCGAAGGGGTTCTTGCCATAAAACCGCCAGCCTTATCGCACAGCCAAACTTGCGCGAACCAACTTGCACGAACCAACTTACGAGAGAATTTACCGCATAGCCAAACTTGCACGAGCCAAGCTTGCACGAGCCAACTTGCACGAGCCAACTGAACGAGCCAATTTCCACGAGAAACCGCACAGCCAAACTTGCACGAGCCAGCTTGCACGAGAAAGATCGCACAGCCAAACTTGCAGGCACGAGCCAGCTTGCACGAGAATTCGCACAGCCAAACTTGCAGGAGAAATCGCACTCGCACAGCCAAACTTACACGAGCCAACTTGCACGGGCAATCGCACAGCCAAACTTGCAAAAGCAAAATAGCTCGCACGGGACGTGTGGACACGAAAGTAGTTAATTAGTCTCTTAAGGCGGCGCGGTGGGACCGAACCCGCCCTGCGAAAATGCTCTCTGCGGGGATTGGCGACGCCGATAAGCAAACAGAGGACTGGTTACGATTTCTGATTTGCGCGCTACCCTCTGCGGAGATTGGCGTGGCCGATGTGCACACACTGGGGACTTTTACAATTTCTGATTTGCGCGCGCAAGCCTCTGCGCGAGTTGGCGTGACTTTTACGTTGTCTGATTTGCGCACGCGACTCTCTGTGGAATGTGCAAAAACTGAAGGCTTTTACGATTTCTGATTTGCGCGCGCAAGCCTCTGCCGGTCGATATGCAAAAGCTGAGGACTTTTGACGACTTCTGCGGTTCGCGCGCGACCCTCTGTGGAGAGCGGCGTGGTCGATCGCACAAAATGCTAGTAGAAAGCTACTTTTTCACGTCGGAACGCGGGCTTGAGAGTTTGTCTCGTGGTTTGCGCGCCTACTCTTGGAATCCTGCATGGTCTCCGCGGCTTCTGAGCTAGAAAGTCAGGAAGGAGCGCGAAAGTAACTCGCAAAGTGCACTTACGCAGCTCCGGCGGAAAGATCGCAACAAAAAAGTACGAAAGTACTTTCGCAGGTCCGGGTCGACAGCGAAGCTCAAATCGAAAGGTTGTTGTGTTTTGGTCAGCCTGCACGCAGAGAACTTGCTCAGAGAACTTGCTCATAGACACTTGTCCCGAGCTTGCGCATCACACTTGTGCAGAGCGCTTGCGCATCACAACTTGTGCAGAGCACTTGCGCAGGCAGAGCAGCTTGCGCAGAACACTTGGGCCGCGCACTGGCACAGAGCAACACTTGCACACAGCTTGCAACACCGACGCCGTCACAATCTTCGAGCAGCAGTCGGAGAATGTGTACTTGGGGAGCTTGAAGGCTGCTTGCAAACTAGGGGACTGGCCGCGGTGCTTCAGCACTCGGATCCGCGTCGTGTTATCCATGTGCCTGGAGGACATGTCCATGACGGAAAGCACCACGTCTCCCACTTCAGCATCTCCTTGGAAGACGTCAGGTCTGCGCCTGCCCGCGATCACGCGGACTTTGAGCCCAGAGCGATCGCGCTCTTCGAGACTTGCGTGGCTGCTTGCAGCAGGCTGCGCAAGCTTCGACAAGAACTCGCTCAAGCTGGAGAGCCTTGCAATGTCTTGATGCACTGCGTTGGGGGCATCAATCGAAGCTCGGCTATGCTGTGCACGTGGCTGATTGTGGCGCACGACATGGCCGCGGAAGCCGCCGTCGCTCAGCTTTTTCAAGCAAGACCTTCCTTGCGGCCGTGGAGAGGCCGCGACTACGCCCTGTGGGCACTGACGATGTTGGAGAGAGCCCCCGGCGATATTCTGGCTCTTTGAATTAGACATGATGAATTCTGCTCGCAGTCACACGCGCTGACGAGCTCTCTCGCACCGGCGGCTGATGTGGTCTGCGCGGAGCCGCGCGACGAGTTGTCAAAATCTGCAGCCGCCACTTGCGCATGAAAAGGAAAGCAGACACACATGCGTGAAGCCAAGGCTCACTTTCCATGATGCTTTCGGGCCACCCGTGGTTCTGGTTTGTTGGGTCCCCGAACCCACGAGCCCCGAGGCCGCCGCAAGCGGGCAAGCGGGCAAGGCAGGCTCAGACGGCCATGGCAGGCTGGAGCTGCGTGGGCCTTGTTGGCGTTGCCTTAGATTGAAGTGGATCCCTGAACATGGGTGGCTTTTCCTCTTGGTTTTCTTGGAACCCCCATTTGGGCCCTTTTCCGAGACTCTCAGGTGGAGTCCGCTTGGAGAATCAATCTTCCAAGTCATCAACGTCGAATCTTTTCTTAAGAGCAAAGGAAAATCTTTAACCAGGCCGTGTGTTGCTTACATCTCACCAGCCGCGACAAAGCCAGCTGTGTCTTGGTGGGTTGGATCTACAAACAGCCCTTGCGGTCGTTGACAGGCATCAAAATGGCAGCGGCACAAAAGTTTGGATGGCGCAACATGGCCTTTACGACCAGCATATAATCCAAGACTCCCCGTGTACCCAAGGGGGGATGACCTCATCCTTGCCACAGATAAGAGGCGTCTCGACCATGGCACATGTGGGTTCGTCTCGGAGTAGGTCAGCCCTTCCAAAATCAACTTGGCGGGTTCCTGCCAATTGCCCGCAAAACAAGCGTGCAATAAAGGACATGCTCATGCAGTATGTTGGCTGAGTTTCAAATGATCCTAATCGAAACAGGGTACAAGTAAAGCTGGCCCTTTTCCGGGCGGGCCCGGCGACCACGTCCGATCAGGAGGAAACGAACGGGGTCATCAAAAGCAGCACAGCTGGCCGGCCAGTGGGAAGTTGCAGAGGTGGCACGGCATGCTTGCATGTCTTTATTCGGCGTCTTTCTATTGAAGTGCACGTGCTAAGTCAAGTTTAGCTAGTTAGCTAGATAGTTGGCTGATTAACTGGTTGGCTAGTTCACTAACTAGCCAGCCAGCCAGGCGTTACTATTTCGACAGTTAGCCAGTTCGCAAAGCTCCTGGCAGCCAACCTAGCTACCCAAGCTAGCTAGTTTGCTAGCCAGCTCAGATAGCTAGCTAGATAGTTGGAAAACTTATTGGCCACCTAGCTCAGTGGCCAGCTAGTTTGCGAGTGTACTAGCTGGCGCATTAGCTAGCTCACGAGTTGGATGGCAGGCTAGCTAGCTAGCTGGTGATCAAATTGAATTGTCAATTAGTCCGAAGGCAAGCTGGTTAGCAGCTAGCTTGCTAGCAGTTAAATAGCCAGCTAGTGTTCTACAGTTCGCTAATTGGCATGTAACTTAAAACCTAGCTAGCTGTTTAGCTTGCTAGCTAGTTAGCTAGTTGGCTAGTTAGTTGGTTCGCTAGTTAGCTAGCTAGCTAGTTTGCCTGTTGGTTAGTTTGCTGGCTTGCTTGTTAGATTGCTTGATAGCTACTTCCTCGATGGTTAGCTGACTAGCTAGCCAGTTAGTTAGGCACTTGCTCAGTTGGGCAGTGAAACCGACAAGCAAACAAAACAAGTTGATAGTTGGCCACCCGAAAGTCTGTACAGGGTCGCACAAAAAGAAAACGCTAAAGACACAAAAACCCTCGTGACAGTCCCACAGTTCAGCATTGGACGGTTGCAACAGCTATATTGATGGTTGCGAAGCAGTGCGCACAGCCGTACCAATGGGCGACCCATCTAAAGGATAGAAATGGCAGATATCCGCACGAATTGATGGTTAGGACCCTAGGACTGTCCCTTACGAAATTTCATCTACCCAGCTTTTGAGTGTGTGGCTGTGGCGACAGAGCGTGCGAGTTTCTTCCCCCCCCCCCCCATTGATGGTCTGGGAACAACAAATGCGGAAACAGGATAGTGATGTTGAGGAGAAGTTGTGAGGAATTGTGGAGACAAGCAGCGGAAAGACAAAAAACTACAGAGAAACTGAGGAGACAGAGAACTGGTAGAGAAAGGGAAACTATCCTCGGGCGCAATGGGTCACCGTTGACCGATGCCCAACAGCCGAGCCCGGCCGCCCGACCTTCCCCATGCCCAGCCGACTTCAGAGTTTTAGTAAACCTTCAAAATGGCTCCGGAACCAACTGACGGCAACCTAACGAGTCATTCTTCAGCCGAAATATCTGACTGAACCTCTCACAAATCCCGGAGCGCGGGGCTCGTTTCTGGTTCCCCGTTCCTTCCCCACGCGTAGGACCCACCGCCTGTCTGTTTTCCTTCGATCCGACGTGCCGGTGTCCACGTTGCGCAGCTGGAGCAAGCACCAAGCTAAGTGGGCTGAAATTAGACAAAACCAACGGAGTTGGTAACGCAAGTTGAATGAGAACTAGCATTTGTCTTGGTACCCCAAAAGGGTTGTTGAAAGGGGAACTCAAAGGGAAACCACTCATTGGGTTGCCTTATTGTGAGACCTAGAACTTATTGAACGTCCTCTGAGTAAGGTCATCTTGGTTTTTTTTTGGGGGGGGGAACCTCATCTTCGGAAACCAACCATTAGAAGGGTCGAAGTGGAGCCGCCGCGAAATGGGCTTTGGCTACCTTTTCTGGTTTCGCAGCCCAAGAAAGGGTACCCTCAAACAAAAGAGACGCACACGCACGTCGAAAACGCCAAGGATAACAACGACTTCTTGAAATGCCATGATTTGAAGAGGACATCCCCTCCTGCGACTGTCCAAGCCTCCGGAAGCCAGACAAGGGTGGCTGCCTTCCTCTGCTGAACCTCTTCAATCTTGTTCTCTACCCTTCCATTTGCTGAAGGCGCTTCCAAAATGATACAAGATTGTCCAGCCATGAACATTTCCCTCAGGCAGCAACAATACATAACAAAACCGTGAGCAGAAATGGAATCACGTCGTTCTTCCAATTCCAGCAACTCAACCAGCAAGGACAACCAGGTGCCGATCAACTGGACATACCAAGCTCCAGCCGTGCAACGCGCCCACCGGAATTTCCGGCGCTCGTGGCGTGGGAAAAATAAATAAAGCCCCCAGCGATGGATGGCATTTCAGGCGCACGAAATCCTCAACAAAAGTCTTCCACTGCCAAGCTCTTCTAAAGGCACGCTTTTCATGCTTGGTTCAAAGGGAAAGCAAGAGGAACACATCCAATTCCCCCCATTCCGAAACAGCTGGAAACTATGATCCCAAAATGCTGGGCGTCATGGCGATTCTCTTTACGCACTGTCCCGGAAAGAACATCGTTTCGTGTAACGCGCAGCCATTTCAGCGACTGGAAGCTAGTCTGGAAGAGGGGCACGAGACGGCACATGACGGCACCCTGAACGGCACGGAAGTTTTGGTGGTGCATTCCCCACGCAAACAGGGGGCAAATGCTCAGGTACCGAAGCTCCGAGGACGTCAGTTGTGAGCCCTTCCCGGCTTGCGGCTCAAAGGTTTGCTCCCTGTACCTGTCTGGGACTTTGGTAGGCATTTTTTTGGAGAAATTGGATAGAGTTGGTTCGTAATTTGTTGGAGCCAAGTTGGGTATTTATGCGCCGTTTGAAAACTCGATGGATTGAACAAACCGAACTAAATTCAAACCAGAGGAGTCCATGAACTTTCCACCGATCTGACCTAACAAGGACACCTACCTTGGTGTGCCTTGGGGAGTTGTCACTCTCCCGACTCCCCGCTCGCCGTGGAAAATGAATCCCCAGCTGACATGCAGACCTCCCCCCCACTTTCTAGCTCTGTCTAGCGAGGTCGCGATTTTCTTTGAAAGGGAGTCGCAAAGGCGAAGAGGCATCCACGTTTGAACGAGCCTCGCTTGGTGAGTGTAGATGACGAATAGTGACCTCTCGCTCAACAGCGGCACCCTCATGCGATCTAATATTTTTATTCCTACCAAACGGATGTCCTCCCAACCCATTCACAATGCAGAAGGAAGCGGCTGACGGCTGCACCTTCCCCCAACCACCGCCCGCGTTTCGCCAACCATCCCTCGGGGAATTCGATTCGATGCCAGGGGCGCTGGGCCAGCCGTTCGGCGGCGATTGGACAGCGCAGCAGGGCAAGACAGCAATACCAGCTGGTCAAAGGGAAAGCCTCCGAACCAAACAAAACGAGTCTCGGCTTTTTAAGCTCGGCGAAGGGAGGGTTCTAATTGCTGGTTTTGGTTACTGGGGGATGAGAGAAAACGGCGCCACTGTACAAGACGGCACAAACGTGCTGTCTGCTTCGCCCTTGGCCACTGGATTTGATTGCCTCTTCCCCTGCTGCGCAGTACAGGATCTCACAGCTCGCGCAGACTTGCGACTGGAGCCCTCATAAAAGCGGGGTCCTTTAAGGACGGCCCGGATTCATTAGCGCAGTACAAGCTGGACCCCGCTCGACCACTTCTCAAAATACCGCCTTGCGCAGCGCAAAGCTCTGGGAATCTCTAGGACTGTGTGATTGCAAGAAGGAAACCACCTAACAAAGGTACCTTTTCTCGACTCCTTGGAGATCGTGCGTCGACCTCGGGCCCAAAAGTCCATAAATATTCAGGGCCAACGGCCAGCCTTCGCCAGTCGAAAAGGACCCGTCTAGTAGGTGATGGTGATATCCTCGGCGGAGACAACATGCAAGCATTGCCCCTGGACACGTTGGATAAACGGAGTATTCCCCCCTGTTTTTGAGTCTGAAGTTTGGTGAGTCCAAAACCATGTCACAACGAGCCCCGACAAGCCCGAAATTGACGGGGGCGCAGACTGGGCGAGCAAAGCAGTGCCGCATGTTCAAGCAACCGCGGACTCGCTACACGGGTTCACCCTTCGTTCCATCCTTTCCAGTACCCCCAACCGCTACCGCCAGAAGAAAAAAAAGGGGTACGCAGGCAATCACTACGTAGCCACTAATCAGGGTTGAAGACCGCATTTGTGAGATGGTTCAAGAAATGGTTTTTAGATAAGTCTGGCCCCGATATATCGATGAGGCGGCAAGCCAAAACCCTTCGTGAGCTTGCTGTGCCCCCTGACTTGCAATTCACCCGGTTACCTATAGTTCAGAGGAATGAACTACGCACTACCCCACACGAGCAAACCTTCACCAAACAAACCGTAATGTGGCCATGGGTCATAACCTACGCCTCCATTTTGCGGCGGATGAACACCCATGTACCACCTATTTTGATGTTCACCAGAGGGTTTTGACCCACAGCCATGTGGCAACATGATGCCCAAGTTCAATCGCGCGCGCGCGCGCGATTGGGCTTGGCTTCGACATGGCATCAAGCAATCGCTTTACCCCCAGCAATCCCGCTGCAATGCCGAGTCATGAGGGCAATGCGGAATGGTCCAAACGGACTCCAAATGGCTGTGTGTCAAAAAACAAGTTGGCTACAGCCAGAACACGACAAACATTGCAGATATGGTTTTTGGCAGACCTTGTTGCTGGACCATGTTGGTGGATTCCGAGGACCCTGATTCTTAAAACACGTGCACTCAGGCCCTTTACAAATCGGCGAAGGGTGCTTCACAGGTCTGCAAGCTTGTGGTTCCAACCTCGCAAGAATGGACAGGTGGGCATTGGATGTCCCTTAAAGTTGCTCTACATAGTGGGTTCCAACAAATCGATATTGGAGGTCATCACTGATTCAGGCTCAGGACCCTTTACCTGTGCTTCTGTGGCCCCTCCATTGTTTCACAACACTTCCCGCGAGGCATGTGAATCTAGTCGCCGGCGGAGCTTGGGGGCTCACTCAAACTTCCAGCGAGATTAAACAAAGTCATGAGTCCCCCCCCATGGGGGCTCCTCCAAAAAGTTGTCTTTAGAACTCCCAAACTCTTCCGGCGAACATGGAAGCATCCCCTCCTTTGGGAGGAGGAGCTTCCTCTTTGAACCGATAGGCTTCCACGTTTGACGAGAGGATCAGAGTTAGCGAAGATCGGTACAACTCTTTTCTCTTGTCAACCTCTGAAATCCCACAATGCCGACAAATTTAGATACCTGGTGCATCAACATCTGGATCCCTTCTCAAATGGGACTCTCAAAACAATCGACCTGGGGGCTATCAATCCTGGTCAGTTAGGGTATCTTAATTGAAACTTGGTACACGGTTTAGTCCTGAGTGGTTGTACTTCAAACCCGCTTCAGGGCGAACAGCGAGGTTGTCATGGCATCAATGAGGCCTATAGCTTCAACGGTGTGCGGTTATTTTAGGGTACCCTTTTTTTATGGTCTTTGAAGCGAAACCAAAAGGAAAACCTAAACCAAAACAAAGACTCCCAGATCTCCGAAGTGCAAGCTCGCAGGGTAGAGGGCCTTTGTTCCAAACATTTCCTCGGCTCCCAACCTGACCGCATGGGCTTCTCAAATCCCACCTCCCCGATCGAACCGCGACCCGTAAGCCGCTTGCCCACCGCCAAGGCGCAATGGCTTCATTCCTAGCGCTGGGGCTGAGGTTGGGCTAGTGGCTTTGAAGGTGTATATATGGTACAGCGTTGCCAGCCCCCCCCCCCCCCCCCACCAATGGTCATGGGTCAGGCAAGTACCCCCCCCCCCCCCTGTGGTTGTGGTCCTGTGGTTGGGTTGTGGTGGTTTAGGGTTGGTTTAGAATTGGTTTAGGGTGTATTTAGGGTTGGTTTAGGGTTAGTTTAGGGTTGGTTTAGGGTTGGCTTAGGTTTAGGGTTTATTGTTTAGGGATTGGTTTAGGGTGCATTTGGGGTTAGTTTAGGGTTGGTTTAGGGTTAGTTTACGGTTGGTTTATGTTGATTTAGGGTTGGTTTAGGTTTAGAGGTCTACGGTTTAGGGTTTGGTTTAGGGGGTATTTAGGGTTCGTTTAGGGTTAGTTTAGGGTTGGTTTATGGTTGGTTGCGGGTTGGCTTGTCCTGGGGGTGGGGGTGCCGGGGTGTCGGGGTGCGAGTTCAGGGGGTCGGGGTGGGGGTGGGACCGTAGGTGACAGGATCCGGGGGCTCGGGGTCTCGGGCCGGGGGGGGGGGGGGTCCTGGGTACCCATACCATATGGGGGGGGGGGGGGGGTAGCAACACGGGACACGGGACCATATATATATATATATATAACCATAGGTCTGTAGTCATGTGTCAGAGCGTGTATGCAAGTGTAGTGTATTCCGCATCTGTACCTGAATCTGTACCTGTTGTCATATATGTATATTGAATATGTTTCGGTAGATGCATACATCCTTGTCATAGCAATGTTCACCAAAATGCCTACAGACTTTACGCATATGTATGTATATATATATATATATGTATGTATATATATATATAGCGAGCGAGCGAGAGAGAGAGAGAGAGAGAGATAGAGAGAGAGAGAGAGAGAGAGAGAGAGTGTGTGTGTGTGTGTTTATTGTGCAAACATACATGTGTACGGTCTTCCATCTGCATGTGCGCTGCCGAAACTCAGCCGGGGTGTAAGAGGCGTGCGAGGAAAACCGTAAAACCAAAAGCTGCTGTAAGCAAACCACCGTAACACCATTCCCCCCGCCTCATGTGCCTCATGTGTCTCCAAATCCTGGGTGAGAGATATGGAGAGAAGCAACGCAGACCGTGGCAAAGGCGGGGTTTGGCTGTTGAAATGTACGGCGAATCGGTAGCGGAGTAGCAGACTCAGGGCCGACGCCCGGCAATCAGTGCTCCATCTTTTTGCTGACTCCGAAAACGGGAAACAAGAATCCGTTGCCATGACTTGTGAGTTGGCTGTGTCGTGCATCGGGGTTCAAATAGCCATTTGTTGGTTTCCCTACCAACACCAGAGTCTGGTTTCTTGAACCATGGCACCCACCCCCTTTCCCCGACTCCCTGCCACGCTTCACCCCACGAGCAGCCGAGGAGCGGAGCTTCACTCCTGGAAGCGCGGCGATGCCGCCAAACCGTTTGGGGCCTTTTTACTGGGGAAGACGGGTAGGGGAAGTTAAGGGGCCCCAAAAGCCCTCCAAGTGTGTTGTTGTGTCGGGTTCTTTTGGTTTTCCTTTGCCCCGAAAGGGCCAGAATTTCGGGACCCCTTTAAGATGAGCACGGGCCCCGCAGACGAAACTCGGCATAAAGGACATGCTGGAAAGTTAGGGTCTAGTCCCCTGGTTTTGGTATTGAAAGTAGTGATTGTTTCCACGTTTCTCCCAATCGGATCAAAATAGGGGCCCCTCCAGATGACTTCTACTTTTGCTTTGTTTCTTACAACCACAAATGATATTCAAACCCTTCTGAGTATGGTGAAAACAGCCGCATTGTCCCAGCATGTCGCCCTGAACAAAAATGTAGCAATAAACCCCGAGTTCTTCAGCGAGGGTCCTGGAGAGGAATCCCCACCAAAAGGGACCGTGATTTTGTAATAGAGATTGCGACTTATCCAAAGCAGCATTAAATCATATTTATATATGGAAGAAATCGGGGAATCCCAATCTTCCGACTCGTTTCCGCTTCGCGGGACAGGGAACTGGTTGAGTTTGTTGTCTCCGAACGTGATGTGAAACTCTGAACCCTGGGCGTCGGTGTCCCGTTGGCTTCTTGCAAGCCACAAACAGGGAACCTTTCTTAGGAAGAACAGTAAGGAACGTTGCTTCACAGGAAAATACTGGCCAAGGCTGGCAACGGTTTTTTCACAGGACATCTCGCTGGCAACATCCTCAGCATCACCAGCATCACTTCGACCGAGGGTTGGCTACTGGCTGATTGGGTGGCAGTTGGAAGTTGCTGGGGGCTGGTTTAATTTAGGGTGGTTTTGGCTGGCTTGGATTTTCATGAGGGTGGGTCTTGGGGTGGTTTGGGGTTGATTTAGGCGAAGCGAAGGGCTGACATGCAGTCTGCTGTTGGGCGGGTTTAGGGTTGACTTTGAGTGGGTGTGGGTTGCTTTGGAGCTGATTTGTGTTAGGTGTGCGGCGGGTTTGGCAGCGGCTTTAGGGTGTGGTTAAGTGAGTTTTGGTCTCGTTTAGGATGGGTTTTGGAGCGTTGCCCCAAACCACCAAGACTCGCCCACAACTCACTTAACCACACCTAAAGCAACCCTAAAGCCAGCCAAGACCCGCCGAACTTAAACCATTACTCCCAACTGCCGTGAAATCAGAGCCAATAGGCGGCCCCAGGGCCAAGTGAGGCTGGTGATGCCGGGGATGCGGCCAGCCAACCAAAAACAAAAACAAACGCCTCTGGGAGATGGGAGTTCCCCCCTAAACCACCCGCATCCTGCTGATTCGGAGCGGGGATGTTTCGAACTAGCCGCCCCCTTTTCCTGCACGCTTTGTTATGAGAGCATTAGATGAATGCCAACTTGGCAGTCTGTCAGACATACACACCACGAGTACGTGCATGAGAGGCTGGCGATTAAGACCGTCAAGGACCTGGCTCCAGCTTGGGCTACCCTGCGCGCTATGACCCGTCCCCGGAGCCCATCCTTTGCTCGTCGGACCATCTCACCGATGTGGACGGCTTCACCGACTTCGCCGGCGTTGCCTCATCGTCGCTCCACGGCGCTGCCGGCTCTGGCGCTGGCGTCCTGCGGACAAAAGGCCGGTGGAGTGCAATACCGTCCTATCAAAACAAGCCTTGACTGGCCCAGTTGGAGGGCAAGGAAACAGTGCTCGCCAGCGGGTTGTTTGTTTCCCGCACTCCAGTCAAGGGCCAACACGACGTGTCATCCACGAACGGCCCTCGGGTGTATGGGGGTTTCAACAAGGTCTCATTAGGTGTGGCTTTCGCACTCCGGCGCCTTTCAGCTGTTGGGGCATGGCACAATTTCCCTGGCATACAGGGAACTTTGAACTGTGCCCTCCACTTTCACCCCACCCCGCGCCGCTCTTGGTCCTCGGCTCATCATGCCATCTTACCGATGGTGTCCTCTCCGGGTCCGCGTCCGACTCATCAGACCAAAGCGCCGGCGGCCTGAGGGATTTGCCCAGAATTCCAGAATTCCGCCCCAGATCTGTGTTGAGGAAAACGGCTTGGGGGTTGGTGAAACGGGAAACCTGAACCAAAGAACAAGAACCACCGACACGAGGATCGCTCCCAACATGCGGACCATGTTGGCTGCCTAAAGAACAGAATCCTTGTGGGGTTGCCTGAATTTGGTTTAATGGAGGGCCATGCCCAGCCTTAAGGGAGTTTTGGCCAAGGAGCACCTCTTGCCAATATCCCGCCAAGGGCCTAAGCTAAGCTATGTGTTTTTAACTTCCTGACGGAATTTGGGCTTGATTGAGAATGATATGTCACCTTGCCAGCCTGGCCTGCTGTCAAGCCAGTTCGCCATTCTCCCACTGCCATGGGAAGAACATCCATCTACCCATCTATACAAGGGACACTGCACAAAAAAAAAACGGCTCAGCCCTCCAGCAGGGAGCCGCCATTGCCAACAGTACCGGCAACCTGTTGGACACCTTTCAAGGGGTCCCAAAAGAATCATAGCTTTCTCCAGGGCTTCCAGTTGCTGTCAATTGTGAGTAGCCAAAAGGAGCCCATCATGCAAAACCTAGAGGTGATATTCTGTGATAGTTGGAAGCGCTGACATTGCTAGGCGTTGATCCAACCCAAATCCCCGCAACAAACAAATATTCACTGTTTGCCAGTGAGTACGAAAGCAAATCATTTTCCTGAAAAGTTACCGACTTCGAACGCTTTGAACTAAGGTCAAGAAGACAAAGATCAACTCAGATGGCTCATTCCTCATCTCTCCAGCCATACCCGTAAATCCTCAGGTTCAGGGCTGGATTCTGCACTTCCACCCAAAGCACCAAGTTCTTTGGCATACATCCAGGAATTCGAGACTGGGGACTCCCCAACCGCACCGATTCAACGCCGTCTCTGTGAGTTGCAATTCAGAGACTTGCAACCTTGTGAGGATTCCAACCAAAAACAAAAGTTTAAACAAGGAGCCTTGGCAACACATGCTGTCAAGAAATGTGCCGAATGAATGCCACAGCTTGCGCATTGCTTCAGAGCGCTGGGTAAAGACATAGACATAGCAACACATGCTGGGGTTTGCTATGCTCGCACAGATTCGCTGAGATCCTGTTCGACCTGGCAACATCTCCAAACAAAAGGAGAAATACTCATTTCTCACCACTCAGTCAGCCAGGGCGCTCGATGGCGATCTGGACTCCCTCCAAGTCAGCCTGACGGAAACGGGGGCAAAAAATGGCTCGGTGTCCCTTCAAAGCCTCCGAGAGTTTGCCCCCAGCGAAAAAGGGTGCCCAAAAAGACAGCCGGTTTCCCTTTAACGCCAAAAGGCGGTTGCCCCAAGAATAGACACGGCCATGTTCGCTCCGAAGTTGAAGGAGAAACGGCCGGATGTGCGCAATCAGCCAGCATGTTTAAGAGAAAGCTCCCTCTTCAAAAGGAATAGGGGAGGGCGCTTCTCTGGCAATCCATTTTGTCTCACTCTAGCCGAAACCCGGTGTCACAGCTGACAATCAACTTGCCATGCCTTACATGGTTTCTGAAGCCCGGGGGCCGGGCCGCACGGGACTGGTGGCCTTGCTTTTGCTGGTTGCCCAACCGCCCCAACCCCATCTTCTGATCCGGATCACAAGTGCCGGGGTGAAAGCTATAGCAATCCAGGATGAGTTTCCCGTCGGAAACTAAAATGGGTTGTGTCAATGTGAACTCCTTGGGACGTCACTTTAAAACAGCCCAAAAAAATAGTTTGAAAGCCACCGCGCCCAAACGGCAACATCCCAATCGCCCCACCCAGTATAACCTGCCAAGGATTCTCTGGGATTCAAGCAGTTTTTTGATTGGTTGCCGGCAACATCCCAGAAGGCGATCACGGATACCCCCAGGTTTAGATAACTCTAGATCTTTCCTTGGGATTGCGAAATATGTCCCTGGTTATATCCCCCAAAGCCAGGAAGCTCTACTTAGCCAAATACCCACCAAAACCGAAGCTCTGACTCTGCTTCATAATTCGTCAGCTTCAAAACGTAGGGCATGTTCTGAGACCATATGGTCTAACTTTGTGCAGAACTTCCAGGTGTCTTAGCACAACTTCACTTCTTGACCACAGGGCTTCCTTTTGGTAAGCCTGGGTGCGTCCCAAAAGATGGAACCCCTGGCTCATGGCCGTTTGGAAAAATAGATGGCCCTGGTAAATGGTTTGGAACCACCATCTGAACCAGTGGAACCCATCTATTTTTTATCAAGCCAACCTAAAAAGGACACCTATGCCCTGGCTCCTTGCCAGCCTTTGCCTTGCCCTAGGACCACCGCGGCCTGCGGCGTTGCGCCCGAAGGCCGCCGCTTGCCGCTCCGCTTGCCCTCGCGGTTTTTCTCGCCGAAAAAAAAAAAAAAAAAAAAAAACGGGGACCGAAAGGCTAGGAGTCGGAACAATGCCGCGAAAAGTGGGTCGCCTTTTTGTTGCGTGGGGCAAACATGCGGTTCTCCCCAAAGCCAAGCTGAAGGGGCCTCCTGGAAGACCAGTTTCAGGGTGATTCTGGGAGGGTAGTCGCACAGAGGGTAGGTCGGGTCATTTGTCCATGACTAAGCCAACACTAATGGTCAATTCAACCACTACATGCTCCGTAAGGTCGTGGTTCATTGGACATGGAATCGTTGGTGAGCAACAGACATGCGTGGGGATGTGTCGCCCTCCCCCTCCGGCAGCCGGCAGCCCCAACCATGCAGGTTAGTTGACCCACGGGCTCCGAGAGTGATTGGGATGTTTCCGTCAACGGGAAATGCAATGTTGCCCCTGATTCAGGTGAGTCCAACTTAGGCAGTTGAAGGGGTGGCATGCGAAAAGTCACATAAGTAGGTGTGGCCGCTGCTTTGGATTCTGTTCACGAATTTCTTGCGAGGATTGTGAAGCGGCTGGCGCGTGTACTGGTATTCCCTCTTATGAGCCTCTAGCCGTTCTCGCAACGGTGGAAGAGGCCAGACAAGATGGGATTCCTCGCTGGGACATCTGGAAATGCCTTGAACAGCTGGGGTCGGATTCTGCCCTTCTAGAAAGTGATTGTCATATGCTAAAACCTCCCTATGTGGGTCATGTCATGGCTCCTCAATTGGGATGTCGGTCATGGCTGTCTAACCTCATGACAAAGTCCATGACCATCCCTGCCAATGGAGATTTGACCAATATCAGCCGAGAAGATCCCTTCACCTCACAGCGCCGATAGCCAGCAAAGGGCTAGATCGGCCGTTTTGAGCGGAGGCTCCAGCTGCAAATGATGAGCTTGGGGTCCTCTTCACTACCGATGAGTTGCGAGGAAAGGAGCACCCATGTCCCTCAGTGAGGGATCTGCCGGAAATTCGTCAGGCTATCGCGTCCACAGACTCTGTCCTCCCAAATATAGCTATGCTAGCAACTCCAGCGCTAAACAACAATAAGATGGGCCCTTTGGGGCAACCTCGGCAAGTGTCGTGTGGAACTTTGCAAGGAGTCGGGAGCGGACCTCGGCGAATGTGGGGAAGAGCAAGAAATTGCAGAATCCGACACGATTCTTGCCTTGAATGGGAAGCCCTCTTCGGTTTTGAGCACTCAGTTGAAGTATAAGTGACAGTGTCTTTTTGCTTTAATCTTGTTTTTGTATCGAGTTCTCCCTCCCTCCCGGCCCTAAACCCACCCCAAGCCCAACAGCCCTAAGCCAACCCGCAGACCCGCCCCCGACAAACTCTAAACAAAGCAACCCCAGTCATGTTTTGTTGATGCCGCAGTTTCCCTTTGGTTTACTGTGCTTTGCAACAAAATTGAGCCTAATCAGATTTGTATTTGTTTTGCCTTGATACCCCCCCCCCCCCCCGGCGGAGTGGAGCAAACACAAACAACTGCATCAGCCGAAGAGCAACCGACCAACCCACCCACCCACCAACCCATCAACCCACCGACCCACAAACCCACCCAGCCAACTGACCAACCAAGCCAGAGCTGGTGCCAGGAGCCGGTGCAATGCAAAAATACATACACCTTTCCCCCCCCCCACCAGAAAAAAACTAACAAAAATGGCCACTGTATTGCTTCATAATCATCAGAGCCTCCCCCTGGAAGAATTCAAGAAGCGGGGAATCTCCATCACCGTAGTCTGGAAACGACCCTTTCCGGAATTGCGTGAACAAAAGCCTTCCACCAATCAGAAAAAGAGCAGCTGAAGCAGCACCGGCCCTTTCTTCAAGCGCGTTGCTTCTCTCACCCCGCGCCGAGCGAGCCGACTTGGCGCCCAAGGCGCCTTTTTGATTTTGGGCTTCAGCCGCTGCTTCGAAGCCGGCGGAGTAGCCGTCGTATCCGTCAGCGGGGTGATGGGCACCGTCTCCGGCGTCTTCACCTCGCTCCCGGTTCCGTTCCGGGACACTTGAAAAGAGGCCTGAAAAGAGCTTGACAGGTTGGGTCGGGCTGCAACCCGGTTTGCAAATTCGTCACGTCGAGCAAAAGGCTGGCTATTTAGAACCTGGCGTGCTTTGAAAGTCCAGGTGGCACCACGAAATCGCTTTCATGGAATAGGAATGGGACCGCCAAAACCAGCTTATTGTTGTTCTTTTGGGGCTCCAAAAAATAGGACTACTGCAAGTAAGTTGTTTTTGGAATCTATTTGGTTTCCCTTAGTTCCATCCAAATGCATGTCCATTTCCCTGTTTGGGACAAGCACATCTAGGCAGGGACGTCCTTTTAGCCTCCGTTTTTGGAGATTTTCTACCCCACAAACAAACATGAAAAACGGAGGACTCTTTCAAGATGACGCCTTTGCCTGATGAACACTTCCACGGGTCAAACGCCTACCATTGGGATCTCTTGCATTTGGGCACTTTGCTGAAACCTGCGATGAGATGTCAGAGTATCGACCACTTGATCCGACCGCTAGAGGCTAGCATCATTCGGCCAATGAGACTTTTTGTTTAGACCTATCACAAAGGGCCCGCCCATTTGTTCACAATCTGGATTTAAAATCTCAGATGAACGCTGGTCCACATTAAAATGAGCTGCCAATGAAGTGGGGTGATGCTTGAATGGGAGTTCTGCTTCCTAGAAAGCCCCCCCCCCAAATCCCCTGAAATCGTTGAGCTTGGCTGCCCGAAGGGAATCTTTAGAGCTGGAGAAAATAAACCAAGCCGGAGATACGGAAAACTTCAGCCCCAAACACCATGGGTGAGCTGGAACCACCGGAGGGCTGAGGCCTCCGCCCGGGTCGCCGCCCGCGGCCTCGGTCCGAAGCCCCGTGATGGCCCGGGCGGAAGCCGGGGGTTCGGGTCGTGACGAGTCGGTGCTTTCCGAATGGGACATGAAACCGGTGGGAACCCCGTGGAACCCCTTGGACCTTTGGCACTGTTAACCTTGAAACCTGCAAGTCTGCAAGGACTGAAGTAAGGAATCCCTGATGGAACCATTGGGTAGACCACTGATTTTTGATTCTGGATGTAAGCTCCTGCCAATTTGACCAGAATGTCACCAGTAGAAATGTGCGGCGAAGCTGGGTAGAATTGCCAACGCACCCAAAAAGCTTACATGGAACCTGAGAAAGAACCCCAACATGGACACTCATTCAGGTTGGATTTGTATTTCGGAAGCTGCTTTGCATGGGTTGTTTGCCTCTGCAAGACATGATATTCATTCTGGCGGGTTAGTCACTTCGCTTCGCAGTGCATCAACACAGGGGGCCTAGCAAAAAGTGACAGGCCATGCTTTGGACCGGTCACTCTGCAGTTTTTTGCCTCTGGAACATGGGCGCTCGTGGCTGGACCGAAGATCCAAGTCCCTTTTGGCGTATCTTAACATGCACGTGTAGGCGTGAACCTGCAAGTTGTTTCAATAAGTCAAATCCTGAAATAGGATCTGACCCTCTTGTCGAAACTGCAGTGGACCTCCAATCCTGTGACAGCGTGCTGTCCTGCTGCTCAAAAACGACGAGCCACCCATCCAAACAAACCATTGCCAGCTGTTTTGTAAGGGTGCGCTTTCAGGTTGGTGAAAAGCGAAAGAAAAAGGCAAGCCAACATTTTGTGGGTGCCCCAATTTCGACACAAGCCCGATTCTCCACAAAGCCCAGAACACACCGGTCCCGACCGGATGTCTGGACGAAACTCCCTGGGTCCCTGACGTTTGGACGGGAATCACTGATATGAAATCTTTGGAGGGATTGCGTCAAATGTCGGACTTTACAAATTTCCAGTAGCTGTACTTCCCCCGTGTGACAAAAGAATGGATTAACCTTTGAGAAAACAATCTTAAACTCCTTCTGGGGGCCTGTAAAACAGGAGCCTCTCATTTTTGTTGGCTCAATTTGGTCTATGAACAAATGCCTCCCGTGAAATCCTTTGGCGTTGAAGTGCTCTTGGGCTCACGCCCAACAGCCCGCACCAATCCTCCGGCTCGTTGCCGCCAGGGCACGGTTCCTCATCCTCCTCCCAAGGCACTGAGGGCAGACTCCTGAGGCACTGAGGTGTGTGACACGTTATTTATATCTTTGGGCTTGAAACCCTACAAAGGAAGCCGAGGCACGACAGCGAGGAACGCGCAGGCCCAGGTGCCGACGGCAGCCGAGCTGCAGCAGGCGCCGAGCTCGCGCTCCTGAGGGACGGATATGAGCCACGGTCAACATTAATGTCCTCAACTGGCGTGGGAGTTTGGCGAGCCGCCAATTAATGGTTATGTTAAGGAGCGTGCCTAATGTCACACCAGAGCAAATTGCAAACTATTGCCAGTTGCGCATATCGCTGGCAAAAACCGAGACAATTGAACGCCCACAGGGTCAGGCACAAATTTCGCGGCAGGCGCAGCACTTTAGCATGCTCGAGCACAGAGTTCCTGACCGGCGCAGCACTTTTGCAATGTCAAGTACGGGTTCGATGGCAGGCGCAGCGCTGTCAGAAGATAGATATAATGGATGGATGGATGGATGGATGGATGGATGGATGGATGGATGGATGGATGGATGGATGGATGGATGGATGGATGGATGGATGGATGGATGGATGGGATGGATGGATGGATGGATGGATGGATGGATGGATGGATGGATGGATGGATGGATGGATGGATGGATGGATGGATGGATGGATGGATGGATGGATGGATGGATGGATGGATGGATGGATGGATGGATGGATGGATGGATGGATGGATGGATGGATGGATGGATGGATGGATGGATGGATGGATGGGATGGATGGATGGATGGATGGATGGATGGATGGATGGATGGATGGATGGATGGATGGATGGATGGATGGATGGATGGATGGATGGATGGATGGATGGATGGGATGGATGGATGGATGGATGGATGGATGGATGGATGGATGGATGGATGGATGGATGGATGGATGGATGGATGGATGGATGGATGGATGGATGGATGGATGGATGGATGGATGGATAAATGGATGGATGGATGGATGGATGGATGGATGGATGGATGGATGGATGGATGGATGGATAGATGGATGGATGGATGGATAGATAGACAGACAGATAGATAGGTAGGTAGATAGATAGATTGAAAGTGAGATTAGATAGATAGAAAGTGAAACTAGAAACAGATCAGGACGCGCTGGCGCGACGCCTGCTTTTTGTGATAGCCCCAAACATAGCTGGACAAACAAGCTGGCTGGCAAGATAGACAGCCTAAAAGATAGACAGCTTGACAGATTGCAAGCTTAACAGAAAGAAAGCTTGACAGATAGATAGCCCAACACAGCTCGTGCCAATTTGCCCAGAAAGTTGTCCTCATTGGAAATGTGTGGCCTCCATCTCTCAAGTTGCACGAAGCTGGGTAGAATTGCCAACACCGCCCAACAACTAACATGGAATCTGAGAAAGAACCCCAACATGGACACTCATTCAGGTTGGATTTGTATTTTGGAAGCTGCTTTGCATGGGTTGTTTGCCTCTGCAAGACATGATATTCATTCCGGCGGGTTAGTCACTTCGCTTCGCAGTGCATCAACACAGGGGGCCTAGCAAAAAGTGACAGGCCATGCTTTGGACCGGTCACTCTGCAGTTTTTTGCCTCTGGAACATGGGCGCTCGTGGCTGGACCGAAGATCCAAGTCCCTTTTGGCGTATCTCAACATGCACGTGTGGGTGTGAACCTGCAGTTTGTTTCAATAAGTCAAATCCTGAAATAGGATCTGACCCTCTTGTCGAAACTGCAGTGGACCTCCAATCCTGTGACAGCGTGCTGTCCTGCTGCTCAAAAACGACGAGCCACCCATCCAAACAAACCATTGCCAGCTGTTTGTAAGGGTGCGCTTTCAGGTTGGTGAAAAGCGAAAGAAAAAGGCAAGCCAACATTTTGTGGGTGCCCCAATTTCGACACAAGCCCGATTCTCCACAAAGCCCAGAACACACCGGTCCCGACCGGATGTCTGGACGAAACTCCCTGGGTCCCTGACGTTTGGACGGGAATCACTGATATGAAATCTTTGGAGGGATTGCGTCAAATGTCGGACTTTACAAATTTCCAGTAGCTGTACTTCCCCCGTGTGACCAAAGAATGGATTAACCTTTGAGAAAACAATCTTAAACTCCATTTTGGGGCCTGTAAGACAGGAACCTCTCATCTTTTTTGGCTCAATTTGGTCTATGAACAAATGCCTCCCGTGAAAGCCAATCCCCCCGGCTCGTTGCCGCCACGGCACGGTTGCTCATCCTCCTCCCAAGGCACTGAGGGAAGACTCCTGACGCACTGAGGGTGTCCATAGGTGTCTCATGTTTTTGTTTTTTTCTTAATTATTGTCTTTGGGGGGGGGGGGGGGATAACCTCCCATCCACACGGAACCAGCGGGTGGGAGGGTGGATAGGCGGCGACCAAAGAGTAGGAAACGTTACGTGCGATCATGCCTGATGGTTTTGAACATGATGCCTGTTCTAAGCACCCTCAAAACAAGACACGCGAATGGGCCTGAACCGCTCTTGGGAGGTTTTGAATGGGAACCAAAACTTAAGCGGCTTGCAGCAACCCTACAAAGGAAGCCGAGGCACGACAGCGAGGAACGCGCAGGCCCAGGTGCCACCGAACGCGCAGGCCCAGGTGCCGCCGGCAGCCGGGCTGCAGCAGGCGCCGAGCCCGCGCTCCTGCGGGACGGATATGAGCCACGGTCAACATTCATGTTCCCAACTGGCGCGGGAGTTTGGCGAGCCGCCTGTCACACCAGAGCACTGACCGTTGCTCTGATCTGTGGCAAAGACCCAGACAATTGAACGCCCACAGGTTTGCGCTGCCCCTTCTTCACACTGTACTGACCCGCAGCGGTTTTTATTGTTATTGGTTTTGCTAAAGCTGCTGGGTGCGCAGTCAAGAGCACACGCTCGGCGCTCCACACATGCCTGCCAGATGAGAAGCACCCCGTTCAAGAGCACAAGCTCAGCATTGCACGCGCCTGCCACATGCCAAGCACACGGCCTGCCACATGATAAGCGGAAAGGTAACTTGCGCAAACAAGTCCACTGCAGAAGATGAGACAGCGCATGCGAGAAGATAGCTCTTGATAGCTTACGAAAAGCTAGAGCGTGCAGACAGGATATCTGTTGTGAAAAAACAGATGACAGCCCATGGAAAGAGAAGAGAAAAGAAGAGACGAAAAGAGAGGCCAAGAGAAGAGGTGACAAGTGAAAGGTGTTCAGATTGCGTGACACGCGCAACACTTTGGGATAGAAAGTGCTCAAAGTGAGCGCCCTGCGCATGTTTCGCATTTTCGGGAAAAGCGCACACCACTTCTGGCGCGGGTTCAGGACTGGCGCGGAACGGGTTCAGCGTCGGGGCGCACTTCAGCCACCTGAGGCGCAGAACCAGGCAGCACTTTGTTCGAGCGGTGATCTGATTTCGTGACACGCGATTCACTTTCTTAAGGTCAGGTACAGAGTACGTGACAGGCGCAACACTTTCGCGGAGTTGGGAACAGATTGTGTGACAGGCGCAACACTTTGTCAGACACAAATTTCACAGCAGGCGCAGCACTTTAGCATGCTCGAGCACAGAGTTCCTGACTTTCGCAACGTCAAGTATGGGTTTGGTGGCAGGCGCAGCGCTGTAGATGGACGGATGGATAGATAGATAGATCTACAGGAAAAATAAAATAAGATAAGATAGGATAAGATAAGATGAGGTAAGATAAGACAACATTTGGTTGGATTGGTAGACAGATAGACATAAAGATGACTTGGGCAGACAGATAGATAGATAGATAGATAGATAGATAAATAGATAGATAGATAGATAGATAGATAGATACATAGATAGATAGATAGGTAGGTAGGTAGATAGATAGACAGAGAGGTAGATACATAGACAGATAGATTGAAAGTGAGAGTATCTGGATAGAAACTGAAATTTGGAGCATTGTACAGCTAGCTGACTGATAGATATGGGCGCGCTGGCGCCACGCCTGTTTTGTGTGATACCCCCACAGACAATAGCTGGACAAAGAAGCTGTCTGAGCAAGATAGCCTAAAAGATAGACTGCTTGACAGATGGTAAGCTTAGCTTGACAGACAGATAGCCCAACACACAGACAGATCAACAGATAGGTAGCTTGACAGATAGATTGCTCGACAGAGAAATGGCTCGATGTAGCTTCAGGTAGAGAGCTTAGCAGAGATACCTTGAAGAGAGACAGAGCTGGCAGCTTGACAGATAGATAGCTGAACAGGTAGCTAGCCCGACAGATGGATGGCTGGACACACAGGTAACTTCAGGCAGAGACCTCGACAAGCAGCTAGCTTAACAGACAGGTTGTCCAACAGACAGTCAGCTTGAAAGAGACAGCATAACAAACAGACTGTTCGCCAGGCAGATAGCTCAACAAACAGTCAGATACACATGCAAAAGCGCAAGTGAGACAAACAAGAAGCAGGTGTCCATGACCATTTCCGTGAGCCCGAGTGGTTTCGCCAACATGTTTTTATAAACTTCTTTCCACCGGCAGAGCCGGCTGTACTGGTAAGCACACGGGTTCAAGAGCACTCGCTCAGCACCGCACGCATGCCTGCCAAAAGACTAGCGCACCCGCTCAACCGGGTCGGTACCTGTCGGCGCGTATGATAAGTAAACCAGGTAGAACCACCTCCTGCAATGCCCCCTTTTAGGTGCTCGACTGAACAGAAGCCGAGTCCAGGTCCGTCCACCCGGACAATGGCTTACTCTCGACCAACTTGGAATCGGTTTAGTATTGGTTCACATTTGTGATCTAAGTAATTAGTTCGGAACTTACTGTAATTGGTTCGAAGGAACTGGTTTGTGCTTTGCCTAGTGCTGGTTCAGCCAACAGCAGTGGATGATTTTAGGGTTTGGCGATTCAACCTCTTGTTGAAACCATGGCTTAATCCACCAAACCTTCAAACAGAAACAATGTTTGCCCAACTAAGCCTTTAGTCATGCTGTTTTGGTCGTGATTTTGATGTTCCAATTTTGGTGTTCCAGTTGAGGACTTTGGTCCCAACCCCCGAGTCCCGGGACCTCTTGATTTGCTCGCTTTGGTTTCCAGCGGGAAATGACCAAGGTGCGAATGATGCTGGGATGTTGTCGGGGATGGGAAATTGAAGGATGCTGCTGACAAATGAATGTTGCTGCCGGTGATGCTGAGAACACGCTGCAGACTCTGGTGATGCTGGGAATGCGGATGATGCAGGCGATGCGATCACTTTTTACGGGTCTCTTTTGTTGAGGTTTGTGAGTTTCTCTTGCAAAACAACCGCCGCTGGCGCAAAGCTGCACTCTCGGACCCTGAGCAAGAAGTTGAACAACCTCAACGGTGGCGGGCTAGAAACCCGCCCCAGCAGGATGGACTGAACTAAGAAAACCACCCTGCAAAACTGGGATGGGCCAATTCAGCGGTCGACAGCATGCTGTGAAGAGTGTCAAGTTTGCCGACTCAGGTGAGACATGCTGACCCCCCCCCCCCGACAAAAAAAGACAAAAAACAATCAGCCATTCAAAGGGGATCGGATTGTTGCTGGGATGCACCACATCCGCCCATGAAGCGAGTACATGAAATGGTTCACTGAGAAAAGGTCCTAAGTTCGGATCATGCTGCTGTTTAAATCCGGGGTTTCATTGTGAGCAACCCTCACATGGCCCCGGTTTCTCTTTGGTGTCCCTTTCGTTTCCCTTCAAATCCACCCAAGACACTCCATGTCCCTTTGGTTTCCCCGTAAATTCTTCTCAAACAGGGGTCCTTACATCACACCTGAACATTGCCTTGTAAATGGTGGCTTCCCCTTATTTTGGCGGAAAAAGCAATTTTTCAAATGGGCAAAATGTATCTTTTAAGGAGCCCCGTCAAACATGCTGGCTTTCCCAACCCGGCAACATGCACATCGCTTCGCCCTTCGGCGCAACCTCTCCTCAGTAGAACTCCCTCAGCCTCCAGCCGGCCCACCAGCCTCGCGCAGAAATGGAAAACGCTTCCGGTCCATCCAAGATCCGTTGACTTTGGGTTCTACCAACATGGGTGTGGCTCAAAATTAAACAGGAGGAGTTACGCAGGCTTTGATCCATGTGACTTACCAGAGTTCCATTTTGGTACCGGTTTATTGAGCCACAGCCACATGGCTCTATCAACATCATAAACTTTACAGGCCTGACGTTTCATCCCTAGGTGGTAGAACCTACTAAAAGGTGAAAATGGGAAGGTGCTTTGGGCGCTCACGTGGAAGCTGATCTTTCAGGTACCCTAGGTGCTCTGCCAAGGCCGAAAAGACTTGGAGTGGGGTTGTGGGGTGCGTTGAAATTGCATCGAGTACAGTAATGATGAGAACGTGCCATAATTACGTGGCCTCGTATGTTATAATTGTTGGTAGATGTGGCGCTGTAAAGGGGATGAATCTACCAAAAATGGAGGAATTAATTCTGCCCGTTCCTTCCACTAGGAACATCCGACATACAACGCCACCCGCCATGTTTGAGGCAACGGACTGAGAGATTTGCTCAAGTGCCCGCCGTCAGAGCCCTGCCACATTCCGCAGGGATTCATACGTGGCATTGCAGTTGGCCTTCTTTTGGTTTTGCTTTTTTCAGGCCCTCCCTGAATAGAGAGGACTTCCTTAATTTGGCTCGGTTTCCCTATTCCGAATCCTACAAAGCGACCTGGTTGGTCACGGAAACCAAAAAAGATATCACCTGTTCTTCAGGGGTTCCCTCAAAAGAAACCAAAAAACATATTCCACCGAGGCACGCGTCGTCCTCGGACCACGGCACCGAGGGTAGACTCCTGAGACGGAGCAGCCAAGGCTTCAAGCTGTTTACGAGGTTGATGCAGTTGAAGTGGTCGCTGGTTCAGACAGGTGTCTTTCCAGCAGTAAACATATGAAAGACATGTGAAAGGTCAAGGCCACATCAGCCAGGTTTGGAAAACAATGAGGTTAGATATGTTTGTCTGCAGCCAACGTTTCGCTTGGCAAATTATATACTTCACCAACAGGAAAATTAGCAATCTGCCAGAGAATCTCTATCATGGGCGAAATCACGGCAGTTTTCAGCGAGCTCGTTGCCTGATTTCGGCAGATTGGAAGACAAGTGCTTGGGTTTGGTTCTCAACCCCACAAAAAGGCGCCCCTCAAAATGGACATACTCATTGATTCCTGTGCTTCGCACCGGAAGCCACTGTGAGCTTCAGGCGACCCTAGCAACAGCTTCGGGCTTCTGGGCGCAGCGGACCACTCCGGATCTGGAACGTGCATGTCACACTTTTCAAGGGCCAAAAGCAAAAACCGGGGCCCCATGTGGCTTCCCCCATCAGTCAAACTTATGTGCTTCGACAGGAAACCACAGGGCCGAGGCCCCAGTTTAAGGGAAGACAACAAGATTAGGTGGCCAGTGTCGAGGGATATCTCTGCAAACTGGCAACCCTTTGTTCGGTACGGGGCAAGATCCCCAAACTGGTTGCTTTTCCACTGCTTCCCTCTACACCAACCAGAAAAGCGTACCCCCTCTCCCATATTCCAGGCGTGTCATGAAATGATTTTGGTTTCGTTCAACTCGGCAGATCTGGATCAAACACGAAAGGGCGACCAAGGAATTCCTTGGCCCTGCTTCATCGTACCATCTTGAGACAAGGAGCGACATCGAGCCTCGTGCGGCCTCTGGGCTCCTGGAGTGGCCAACGGAAAATCGTGATGTTCTTGGCAGGTCGGGGGAATGGTGCTGTGCTACATGATTTGTCCCGAATTTGCAACTGAGGCTAAATCTGCTTTAGTATTTCAGAATGCTGAAGTGCTACTAGTTTCAACCTGAAAATGTACCTCACCTGGACCATCGGCTTGAATTGGGGCCCTTCCACCCGCCCGCCCCCCCCCCCACCCGCGCTTTGCACAGTGCCCGCCTCCCTTTTGCGAAACCGAAAGGAAGCCATCCAGCCAAAATCCCTCGATAGCCCTGGAAGAGCTTCGCCAGATTTGGGCCGAACTGATTGGAAAGCCCAGGGGAAACAAGGGCTTGCTCAGACATGCATGTTCGCCCTAGAGCGAGGCACACCTCATCCCCGGTGCCCCGAAACAACGTTCCGCCTTGTAGGTCAAAGGAAACTATTCTATCTATATATATATATATATGTATAAACAAATAAATAACAGAACGGTGCCCCTGTGTCAGCTGGGAGGGACAAATCATGCCTCTCCCCGAGAACTGCAAATACAAACAGCAGTTGCAGGGGCCCAAGACTTGGATTGCCTCCAAAAGCCGAAGTCGTCGAAACGCTTTCGGGCCACCAAATTTTTTCTAGTCGGTGCTCAAAGCTGTGGACTGTTTGGAAGGAAGGCAACCTTCGGAAGCCAGCCAGGCCTCAACAAAAATGAATCTCGAGGAAAACGAATGACGTCCGGAAACGAACAACCCGGAAATCCCTGGTGTTCATTTCTGGGCAAGTCCCAGAAACGGGTAACCAACGTGTTCCTCTTGGCTCCAAGCGAAGTCCCAATCGCCTGGGAGCTGTTCCAACTTGACCCTGCTCGCTCGCTGAGTGCAACGGGTCGCTCCTAGGCACGTCGCTAGGCACGTCGAAGACCACCCCCTCGTCCTCCAGCTCCAAAAAGCTCCTTGGAAAACACACACACCAAACAAAAAAAAAGGTGAGCCACCGACATTCGATTAGTCAAGATGTTGCTCCGAAACGTTGAACGGGCTGCGGGTCGAAGCAAGGAGCAACCTCGTGCTTGGGGCTGTATGCAATTGAGCAGCGAAAACCCGGTCGCTGACTTTGGCACAGCTAGGGAGTCCCAGGAAATGGATGGGGCACAATGGGAGTTCAATGTGTTAACCGATTGGCACTCACTATACCCTAGTGACCCTAATGTTATGGTGATGGAAAAACCAAAGTGTGGGGCCTAATACCTAGTAAAACGCTGTTCAAGTGCACACGGGCCTACAAAAGAGTGTCTTTGGCCTTCCGTCTTCATCTGCGAGAGCGTACCAAAGTGTGGGGGCTTCGAGCTTTGATGTGAAAGCTAGGAGTTGATTCCCCCCCATCCAATGATGATCTGAAAGGGGATTGGTATCACAGCAAATGGCAACCTGCAAGGTTGGCCCCCCTTGAAAACTCGGCTTGGATGGAAATGTGTCAGAGCCTCTGGATCCGCGTTCAAAGCCCAAACCAACAAAACGATCTCCCGAATGCAGAAGGCAAATGGTAGACGTGAGTTTTCCAAAAGTGAGTACAACAACACGAAAAGGAAGCCACCATAAGCGATCTCGCTACCTAAAACTCCCGGTTGCGTGCCTGTTGCTTGCCACTTGAAGACCTCCGCTTTGTGTTTTTGGGTTCCCTTGTTTGGCTTCTCTTTAAACAGGGTCCCACCTTGGTGGGTCAACTAGGGCCTGAATCCTTGGGAATGTCCGCCAGTGAGGACTGGAACAGCTTGGAAAGCATTGCAGGGGTTCCTGAATCTGAGACTGCCAACATGTGAGGGGTTACTTCCGCGAATGAACGCAAAGTTCCAATTGTGCGACTGGAACCAAGCCTTGTCCCTCATGCTCGGCAAAGGTCAGCATCCAAAAATATCTTCAGGCCATGAATTACCTGAGAGTCCCAATCAAAAAGCCAGCAAAACACGTCGTAAATGTTGCGTACATGTTGCATCCTACTCAATGTTCTACGGGTATGTGTCAGAATAGGCCCCCAAACATGGGAGGTGTCCTTTTGGTGACCTACCCCGACCCCAAAAAGGGTACCCTAGAAACACGCACCCATATACCAAGAACCGCGAAACGAATGTTGCAAGCTTTTGCCCAGCCAAGAAGCTCCAGGGGTATCTCTGCAGGTACTATCCTGGCACACGTGCGCCACTACACGACGCGCTAAAGCGGCGCGAGCGCCGGCCGGGGAGGGGAGTTCTCCCCACATAGAACAGGGATCCACTGACCTCAAACATCGCCAAAAAGATGAGACGCGTTAAAAGATGGCCATCAAAATGCAATGTTTAAGCCTCCCGCAAAACGGGGAAATCCAGGACGGAAGTGATCCACATGGGCATGATCAGTGTGATCGAAGCGAATCGGCCGACTCGTTCCGCATCCCAGGCCTGTTGTCCTCGGCCTGCAAGGCAAACGGCGGAAGCCACTCTTCAGGCAGGGAGTGGTGGCCACTTTCGTTCAAGAGAGAGGCTGCAAGCGCTTTGATCGGCTGTCTGGCAAGTATGCCCTGGTCTTTCTGCTGACCCCCCGGAAAGCCAAACACGGGTCAATTCGGAGGCTGCTCCTAACAGATGGCTCTTGGGATCCAAAACCTAATCTGGAGGGAAAGCTGGGATTTGATAAAGTCCCTCTCCTTTCACCTGACATCATTTTACCGAAAGGGCAGCCACAGAATGATCTTTGAACCCAGAAACGGAAGAATCCATTCATCTCCACAGGAAATGATTCAAGATTGCTTGCTCAAACGTTGTCTCTCCACTCTCCACCCGTTCCTCCTTTGTACTGGCTTGTCTCTCTGTGGAGGAGTTATCTGTTCCTTGGGAAGGATGGATCAGGAAAGGTCATCCTGAGAGCATGCCTCAGTCAACACAAACCACAAGCGGCCTCTTTGACACAGATCGGTCGTTCTTGCAGGTGCCCTGTTAGGGGTGAGTTTCAGTAATTTGAGACCGACCCAAATGTGAGCCAAGGGTAACGGTTCTCAAAATGAACACAACCAAGTAGGCGTCCATCATTCCCTCCCCTGGTTCGGTTGAAATTTGGGGAGTCCCACATGCTTTTGAACCTCAATTTGACCCCAGGCAAAACTGGTACGCTATGTTGACCGAACCTCAAAGAAACCAGCCTTCTGTGATTTGTGGGGGCTGCCTCCAGTTTGAGACAAACACCTTTTCAACAAAACACCACCTGTCAGCGCTGCCGCGACCCTGCTGGCCTCCAGCTCGTTCTTCGCCTAACATCCACATGGGATGGGGGTCGGTAAACCTTCCGGGCGGGGAGGGATGCAGCGCCCTTCCGTTTGTGCCTAGCCACTTCTGTCAAGCACGAAACCAAGACTTTGGGGAAGTCCAGCCATTCGCTTCGGGCACACATCTGCCAATTGAGCGGGGACCAGTGACAGGACCTACGATTGGTGCAATGTTGAGGTGGGAAAGGCTCCGGTTTCCATTTTCCGCACCCCCTCCCCTCACCAACCCCATCCCCCCACAGTAGAAATAGACAGATTTCACTGGCGAAGACGACCAAACCAAACTGAATCCATTCTCAAGCAAACTGGCGCCTCAGTTTGGGCCAGCCGCCTCTGCGCCCAACCCCGACGTCCCTTTCCGCCTTCTTCGGCCGAAGCTTCTTGACCCGCTTCTTCACGGACCCTTCTGGCAGGTCCTCCTCCGGAGCGAGCTGATGGGTCGGACCCGTCGCTTTTGAGTCCGCACTCAGAAACAGTCAAAAGTTGGCAGGTTTGCCTTTCACCCCCCTCCTTCATTACAACAAAGGGCCGCTGAAAGCGAAAAAGAAAACGCCCTGGTGCATGCTCCACAGAGGGCAAAAGGGAAAGCTGGACATCTGATCAGGGGCACTTTGAGCCAGACTTGCCACGAACCTGACTAGCCGGTGCAACTGGTGCTTTGCAACCTCTGAATGCATTGCTCACAGGCAAAGATTGACATGGAAACTAGAAACACCTCTGTGAGACCTTCATCTCTTGGGATCGGACCCCTTTTCAGCCTTTCGCGGAAATCAGGGATAGGGTTGAACCCTTGAATTCTCGCTCCATCAGGACCAGTTTGGGTGCTGTACCCGTTTTCCAACAATCATGGACCATGGAAGTGGACAAAAGGCCTTTCAAGAGCACAGCCAGTGGTCTTCCAGAACCTTGTCCACTACCTCCCAAAAGATATCTACTCTTGGGGGAGCTCATACATTCTTCCCCGCAGTACAGTCCATGGGCCTGTGTCCCCTTTGCGCTGTGCCAACAGAGAACCCTAACAAAGCTGAGCCTGGAAAACCTCCTCAGTTCGGGTGCAACGTCTGGGTTTCATCAGCCCACCCCTTTTCTCAAAACTTGAGGTCAGCGGCCCGTGGCGCAATGGCCAACGAGACCACATGGCCCCTGGGGCACATCCACTTGACATGTCGGACGATCCGCTCCTCCTGCCCCGACCTGCGCGGCAAAAAAACAAGCGCCCCTTCTGGCCGTCTGACGTGGATCGGCGAAAGAAGCTGGAGCATCGTTCCGTTGAAAACAGGCGAACAAGCGGACAAACAGACAAACGAACTTGCAAGCAGACAAACAAGCAGACAGACAAACGAGTGATGGTTCATGACAAGCAGGAAAGCCTGATGTCCCGAGTGACAGTTTTGGGCGCGTCTGAGAATTGGATTCCTCCTTCGCTGCAGATGGTCATTTCCTGGCTTCTGTTTCAAAGGCCAGAACTGCTTGGTCAAATATGGGGCCTTTCAAAAAACAAGAAAAAAACAATAACGGTTGTTTCATTGGACGTTTGCAAAAAGCCATTAAGGAATGAAATATTGAATTCTTGGAAGGAAAACCAAGCGGAGACCCCGATTTTGGGTCAAATGCAGGGAAACCCCATTCACGCGTTCCACTCACGGTCTCATCGGCTCCCTTCTTTGTCTCCCTCAAACTTTTACCCGAAGAAAGAACACCTACCGCAACCACAGGGTAAGAATGGAACCCCGAAAAAAAGACTACAAATACCCAAAGCAACGTGGGCAGACCATTTGAGGCAAAATCTTTGAGACGTTGAGACGTGGGCAAATCCTAAGGGGTCCCATGAATGAACATCCTGATGTTCGGTGATAGTCCACCGGACAAGTGTTTCACCTTGCCCTAGTTGGTGGTTTGGCCTTATATAGGGGGTACCTTCCCAAGTGACTTCAAAGGAACTGGGGTTCCAACCCCCACCAATCCAAACCACCAATCAAGGGCCACCTGACTGATGGTCCAAGGCAAGCCCTCGCCTTGACCCAAGGACCTACCAGGGAGCCCTGCAGGTCTCCAAACTCGGCACCTCCTAGTTGGCGCTGAAAAGGAAACCAGAAGGTTTGAGAAATCTTCTTAGGGAGCTCCTGTCGGATTCAGCAAGGCGCTACGATTTTCGCGTGTTGGAACCCCCCAATATGGTTGGCTGCATGCATCCAACATCTCCGAGCTTTCTCGATTGGACCTCGAAGCAGGGTTGGGCCAACCCCTTGTTTGGGGTTGCTTCAGCAACCCCTTGTTCTTCCCTTCAAAGGCCCAGTCCGGTCGTGTACAAAAAGGATACCCTCCCAGAAACAACCAGGAAGAGGGCTGAAGGAAAACGGTCTTGGGCGTCTTTACGTTTGAGTGAGGTAGAATCAGAATCCGGAGTCTCCCCTTCCCTCCCACGCCTCGGCTTTCGGACCTGGCACCGGCCAGAGAAGCAAAAAACCCGAGACGACTTTTAGCCCCTGGCAATTGACAGAAACCTACAAACAGCTCCCGCGAAAGGCGTTGATCTGAAGGGAAGCCTGAGGAAGCCGGCCGCCAGTTCCGGGTGTGACAATGTTACCAACAAACATACGACGGGATGGATACAGCGGTTGACGAAAGGGCCTGAAACCCAGAAGCTGCACCCCTCACTTAAGATACGCAAGGTGTAGCAATGCGGGGATCGAAATTACTTTTGAGGGGAGACGTGCAACAAAACACTGAGACTGGACATGTGGGTGTGGTTTCTTCGAGGGTATCCTTTTAAACGGCGTCTTAAAAGGGAAACCGAGTGGAAACCCAAGCCCATTCCGGTGGATCCCCCGGAAGATCGGCAGGTCCTTGGCGCGAAACCGGATTGAAAAGCAACATCAAGAAGGGGATCTTCATCACAGACCTTCATCATGGGTGACTCGTTTACCCCCCAATCCCGGTGAGCTCGCCATAGAGCAATTTAGATTCATCGGCCTTCCATCGGACTTCCGTCATCCTTGGAGCGTCTGGGCCAGTTCATTGATCTACCGTACCGCTACCCCTCGCCGTAAAAATATATGAAAATCGGACGTGTGGGGCAAGAGTCCGTGAGCTCTTGCCATTCCGACATTTCTGCTGGGGCTTGGGAGCCCATGTTCGGCGAACCCCCCAAAATATCAGAGATTCGGGTGCGAATGTTGATAAAGGACCATTCGGTATCATTTGGCGGGATGCATGTCCACCAACCTCCTTTGAGGGGGGCCACCTCTCATTTCGCCCGGGTAACCTTGGCCAGATCTTAATCATCTTCCCCTGCAATCCCTGCAAGGCTTCAAAACAACAACACACAGCGCTGAAACACTCCCTGATTTCAAGGGTATCCTCTTCCGGTTCATTGCCATGAAAAGCACCAGACAGCAATGCAACTCCCTAGAACCATCAAGACGCCTGGCCTTTCTTTTTGGCGCCAGCTTCTTCTTCTTCTTGACCTCTGCCATCTGCTCGTAAACCATCGGCTGTACCTCGTGATCTCCGAAAAGAAAGGCCGAAAGAATCCCCGACCGCAACCTGACTCGGCAACTCGGCTTCAGCCACCGAGCCTTTTTGTGCGGGGTGGCCGCTACGGGGAACGGAGCGCTTCCTCGAGGTAGGAAACCCAGACGCGTCAGGGACGAAACACGTGGGAGCGAAGCTGCGAAGGGTAGCAGGGTCCTGATATGTCTCCATGGCAGCATCAGCAGTTCAAGCGGTTCTCCCATATGCAATCTTTGGGGGGGTCCAATGCATCGAAAAATTGTGCCGCCTGATGCTGGCGAAGCTTTTCGATGAGCAACAAGAATCAGATCCAGGCGCTGTGGCATCACCTTCTTGAGGCCCCGTTCTCGCCCCTTGAGTCCTTTCCGACAAGTTTGTTGGTTGCGTTCCAAGAGGGATTCTTCTGCTGTGGAAGGAGCGCGAACATTCTCCCAATGGCAGGCTGAAAACAGACCACCAAAGGTTCCAAGATCCAGAACATGCTCGTTTACCGGGAAACCAGAGATTTCCCATACTCGGTAGCTTCAAAAAAAGACCACCCTGGATCGTACCCTCTACAACCCACATTGGCCCCTCAAAATGGCCTTTTACAGCCCCAGAAAGTGATTTCGAGAGCCTTCAATGCAGCCTGGTGTCCGGCCGTAAGGAAAGCCACTCGTACTTTGGCTGGCGTCTCGGGACCCGCCCAGGCCACAGCCACCCGCTTTCTGTGCTTCCCCGCCGCGGCGAAGGTGTCCTCCAGCGCCGCCTCGGCGAACCTGAAGCGAAAGAAGGCGGGCGCCCAAGAAGAGCGCTCAAAGAAGTGCCTATGTGGCTGGATGTGTTGGGGGCATGGACGGATTTGAATTGATTGGCTTGGCTTGGCTTGGCTTGGCTTGGATTGGATTGGATTGGCTTGGCTTGGCTTGGATTGGATTGGCTTGGCTTGGATTGGATTGGATTGGATTGGATTGGATTGGCTTGGCTTGGATTGGCTTGGCTTGGATTGGCTTGGCTTGGCTTGGATTGGATTAGATTGGATTGGATTGGCTTGGCTTGGCTTGGCTTGGCTTGGCTTCGATTGGATTGGCTTGGCTTGGATTGGATTGGATTGGATTGGATTGGATTGGCTTGGCTTGGATTGGCTTGGCTTGGATTGGATTGGATTGGATTGCATTGGCTTGGATTGGATTGGCTTGGCTTGGATTGGATTGGCTTGGCTTGGATTGGATTGGCTTGGCTTGGCTTGGATTGGCTTGGCTTGGATTGGATTGGATTGGATTAGATTGGATTGGCTTGGCTTGGATTGGCTTGGCTTGGATTGGATTGGATTGGATTGGATTGGCTTGGCTTGGATTGGATTGGATTGGATTGGATTGGCTTGGCTTGGATTGGCTTGGCTTGGATTGGATTGGATTAAATTGGCTTGGCTTGGATTGGATTGGATTGGATTGGATTGGCTTGGCTTGGATTGGCTTGGCTTGGCTTGGCTTGGCTTGGATTGGCTTGGCTTGGCTTGGCTTGGATTGGATTGGATTGGATTGGATTGGCTTGGCTTGGCTTGGCTTGGCTTGGCTTGGATTGGCTTGGCTTGGCTTGGATTGGATTGGATTGGATTGGCTTGGATTGGATTGGATTGGCTTGGCTTGGCTTGGATTGGCTTGGCTTGGATTGGCTTGGCTTGGATTGGATTGGATTGGATTGGATTGGATTGGATTGGCTTGGCTTGGATTGGCTTGGCTTGGATTGGATTGGATTGGATTGGATTGGCTTGGATTGGATTGGCTTGGCTTGGATTGGATTGGCTTGGCTTGGATTGGATTGGCTTGGCTTGGCTTGGATTGGCTTGGCTTGGATTGGATTGGATTGGATTGGATTGGATTGGCTTGGCTTGGATTGGCTTGGCTTGGCTTGGCTTGGATTGGATTGGATTGGATTGGATTGGATTGGATTGGATTGGCTTGGCTTGGCTTGGATTGGATTGGATTGGCTTGGCTTGGATTGGCTTGGCTTGGATTGGATTGGATTGGATTGGCTTGGCTTGGATTGGATTGGATTGGATTGGCTTGGCTTGGATTGGATTGGCTTGGCTTGGCTTGGATTGGATTGGCTTGGCTTGGATTGGATTGGCTTGGCTTGGATTGGATTGGATTGGATTGGATTGGATTGGCTTGGCTTGGATTGGCTTGGCTTGGATTGGATTGGATTGGATTGGATTGGATTGGCTTGGATTGGATTGGCTTGGCTTGGATTGGATTGGCTTGGCTTGGATTGGATTGGATTGGATTGGATTGGATTGGATTGGATTGGCTTGGCTTGGATTGGCTTGGATTGGATTGGATTGGATTGGATTGGCTTGGCTTGGATTGGATTGGCTTGGCTTGGATTGGATTGGCTTGGCTTGGATTGGCTTGGCTTGGATTGGATTGGATTGGATTGGATTGGCTTGGCTTGGCTTGGATTGGATTGGATTGGATTGGATGGATGGGATGGAGTGACCTGCAAATGGCACTGTGGTTGGAAACCTCCATTTCGCGCCTTTGCTGGTGGGTAAGTGGGTAAATGGTCACTGCGCGTGATCGATCCGTCCCTTAACCCGACCCCAACCAGCTGACATGCGTGTCCCTGTGATTCCCTTTTGAATACCAAAGGGGGGTCAAAATCTTCGAGAAACTCTATGGGCCACAGCGGGTAGGGGCACCATGTGTTGTTTCTATATGTGTGTGTGTGTGTATATATATATATATATTTATTTATTTATTTATTTATTTATTTATTTATTTATTTACACTGAACCAGAAGGAAGCCGCCCATTGTGGTCTCTCATAATTGGGGGGGCCCAACCAAAATGGTGGATGATCCGAGTTGTTGGGCCAAAAAGAGGTTTTGTTCAACTAGGAACCTCTCCTGGAAAAGAGTCGGTTTCCTAACATGGCTACGGCTCCCCTGTGCTCTCCATTTCAATATGAACAAGGGGTTCCACCATTTTGAGAAACTCTCGGGTGTGTCGTTTTTTGAGGGTACCCCCTTCTGGGTTGTTTTATGGGAGAAACCAATGCAGAAACCAAAAGGAAAACCACCATTTGTGGGTCCCGTAAAAAGACACACTCATATCCAAGCAGATTGGATGACTGTACACTTCCATGCCCTCAGTGCATGGGCCAAGCAGGTCCCTCCGGATATGTTCGCAGGAAAAACCGCCCAGCGAAAATTACAGATGAAAATCGAAGACCCGCCGGAAAAGAGCCACATTGCTAACCTGAAGATGAAAGCAGATGTCACAATTTCATTCACATCAGCAAGGTTGCGCCACCTACTCTTGCCCAGGATAAATGTGATGGCACGATGGTCTTTTTCCTTGCCAACCATCATGCGTCTTTTCGCGGGGGGGCCCAAAAAGACTCGTGGCTTTCCCTTTGTCTTCCCTTTAAACCCAAACAAGCACCGCCAACCACCTGAGCACAACTCAAGAAATGGGGCTGGGTACTTCAAATGTCCACGTTAGGAGTGAAGTGGTACGAGACATTTAGCCCCTTTGAACAAACATAAAAACTGCCTTGGGCCTTCCAAGAGGTACATGTCCAGTACCTCCCAGACCCACCCGAGCGGGGCCTCAATGGCGGCTCGTCAACGTCCTGGCGGGCTTGGTCATGCCTCGACACACTATACGGGCCCGTAATTAGATACAGTGCAGGTGTGGGATACTTCAAAGCCAAACAAAAGTCATGATAGAAGCAGACCGGTTGTACTTATTGCAACAATTGTATTACCCGCAGTGCGGAAAAGCAAGGTGGCAGCGTTGTCGATTGATAGCCACGGTTTGTGTGTGGTCATCTTCGGGCCGTGCAATTCGCAGTGGGGAGGGAAAACACATCAAGCACTGTTCATGTTGATCTGACTGTCAGCAACACATCGCCCAAGTGGTATGCTGGCTCTTGCCCGCCAAAGCGGGACAAAAGTGTGTTTTGTGTCCCACTACCCTTCAAAGTCAGTGCGAAATGTCGTGATTAACCGTCCCCAACATGGGACCCAACAAAAATAGAGATTCTTATATTATATAACTGAAAATGGAGGTTCCGTTTTGGTCTGGTTGAGAAGGTAACTGTTTAGCTAGACAAGTTGTATCTTTGAAACGAAAATACCCCGAAGCTCCTCTTTTCAGGCCGCTCAGACTGGGGGCAGTGAGGTTGACAAAAGCCATCTGCCATCTGCTCCATTTGAAACAGGATTTCTCTGACTCGCCCTGCGCTATCAAATGTAGCATTTAGGGCAGCTGTGGTGGAATCAACACGGAGACCTCTCGGTCCAGCTCCATTTGGTGACACTTATCCGAAGGCTGCGGGTCTGTCCCCAAATGGCTTGAACCCCGAAACCAGAAGAAAAACGAAACGCCGCATGGTTGGGTTGCAACGCAACTCATCAAAGGGCCCTTCCTCTTTTCCACGTCCCTTGGAAAGTGCCCGTTGACCCTTTGTGGGGGCAAAAAGTCCGGACCTGCTTTGAGAAACACCCAGAAAATGCCAGCAGTGCCTGTCCTGTGTTTTTGAAACACCACGCAAGAGAAAAACCAGTGAGACTTCGTCTACAGACTGACGTTCAAGCCGGGCGTAAAAGAGAAATCTGCAACCCCATGAAAGGGTGGTGGGAACGGCTCAAAGGATTGGAAAGCAATTGGCCCGTGCTCACGAGCTCCATTAACCCTGAGTATCCTTCTGGAAAACAAGAATCGCAATGTAGATGTTTAGAGCCAAACCACAACTTGAGGAACCCCTGAGGCCTTTGGGGGTCTGCAGGGAGCTGAAATCAGAAAGGACCATCATCGCCATTTTCCCCTGAAACCAAACAGGACACGCACCGCAACTTGTTTCAGCCCTTCCGGCCCTCCGCCTTCACCTCGTCTTTGATTTTTGGTTTGATTGGCTGCAGCCTCAGCAGCCATTTCTGTCTGACACGCCGGCTTTGGCCAAAACCAGAATTGTTCAGCAGCCGTTTGGTCTCCCAAGGTAAGGGCCTTGGCGCCCCTTCATGAGATATCGGGAGCCCAACTCTGCCTCTCAAGGTGCATATCATGTGCGTTGACCCATTGAATTCCTTTGGAGATCCGATCCTGTCTTGCACTTGAGCAGGTTACGTGAACAAGCTGACATGCCTTGTGGCCTGTGTACTTTTGAGAGCACCGTTTCGCAGCCACCAAAAGCCAAACCGCCAATCTTGGGGGCGTCTTTATTCTGACACAGGCCCCGATTCTGCACAAGTCCTTCAGTTTATGCAAGTGTCAACAGAAAGCAGTGCTGCATGAGCTTTGTGAAATACTGTGGTCGGGCTATCAAGATTTGCTGGCCCCGTTTGGGTCCCGTTGGCTGTCAAAAGACTGAGTGTATGCTATACATTTATGTGTTCATATATATATATATATATACATACATACTATCATGCACAAAAAAGGTTAACATTTGAGGCCCCTGTGTGGTTGGCTTCCCATAGATGAACCAAGAAACTAGGGGTTCATACCAAGGGTTCTACCCTTTGTGGGGCAGGCATGGGCATCCCTCGAACATCGAGCGTGGCCTGCAATTTTCGGCTTGGGGGAGTTGGGCGTTTGCCCTGTTCGGGGCCGTCTTGTCCCCAAGGAAGCAGGAAGCAGGAACTGGAGAACATGTTGAAGCTCCAGTGTGTTCATTTCAACCGCAAGTTCGTACGGCCATTGGACGGCAACATGCTTCACACGTAAGGAGACATGGGCAAACCCGTTGTCTGCATAGTTCAGCCCAATAAAAGCAAAATCAAGCCAGGCACACAAACCAAGGGGCAGGAGGAAAATCACAGCAAGCCACCGCCTCTGCGGTCTCGGGTGTCCATACCCTGAGAGAAGGGGGACCCAAGCGAAAATCACAGCAAATGGTTCAGGTACGTAGGCCTCCGATTGTATCCAAGGGAGTAGAACCCATCTGATCGGAACCCTGGATCGAACGGGCAGCTCGTTTAAAAGCAAGTCCCATCACTTTTGGGAGAGCATCCACCCAGAATCCGCCAGGTTTTACTGGAAAGGGACCGCTGCGGCGAGTCAATTGCAACCGTCACCCGGGACTTATTATAAACGTACCGAGGGAAATGTGAAAGGTCACTGCCAAAATATGCGGCCAGAGGGGGCTGCAAAGATTTTCCGAAGGGGGTGTTTAAGGATGACTGAGAGTGACACGCCCCCCCCCTCCCCCTGGCAACCCCCGGCCTTTTCTGGCAGCGCCACCAGATCAGGAACATGCCTCGGAGGTCGAAAATCTGGGGATGAAACGAGAACTGAAGGAAAACTGAACCGTTTAGGGGTCGCTATGGAAGGAAGGGCACACCTACTTGGACGCAGAGCATCGAATTCGGTTGTGCCTGGCAAATGAAAGCGGAAAGGACACAGGAACCGGCCAGAAATCAAACAGAAAAACACATGTTGACCCGAAAGGGAACTGAATTTGTTTCCAGATGAACGTGGAATCCCAAAGCCCATCTATTTGTTTGTGGGTTCCTTCCGTCAATTTCCAGGAGTGACCTCAGGAATCATTGAGTCAATGGGTCCGCAAGGAGGCATGAGTGCGCATTCGGACATTGTGCGTCCTAAACCTGAGGAGCCACCACCACCTGTGCGATCGGGGGTGGCTTCCATAGGGCTCCATGTGGGAAAACACCCGCATGGTTCGGTGAGCGGCCGAATGTGCCAGCATCATCCTGGGAGACACAAGGAAACGCATCCAAGAAACGGGGAAATGAGTCAAGGTCACGGGGGACGCGGAGCCTGGAAGTCTGCCGTCGGATGGAGCCCTTCTCCAAAAAAAAAAAGGAAGAACAACGATACGGCACAGGGCATCTTGTAGCCTAGACAAAAAGAAGCTGCGCATCAAATAAAACGCATGCGATGGCCATTGAGCGTGGCGTTCTTAGCTGTGTGTGTGCATTGTACGATTGTACGTGGTGCTCTGAGCACGGTGGTGCAATGTAGCGGTCCGAGCTAGCCGTCCTTCCAGGGCCACGTCGGCTATCGCAGCTTGCGGCGTGCTTGACTAGACCTTGTGTGACAGCGCTTCTTTGACGCGGTTGGGAGTTTGTGACAACGCACACTTGTTTGTGTTTCGATTTGAATGTGAATAGCCTGTGGTCCCATTCTTCTGGCCTCAAAGTGCGATGCTGTTAGAATACTTGTTCGGCCTGGCTCCATGTTTGTTTGCAGCTGTGTAGACGAGCTCGTGACACGTTCCGTGATCTGCCTGGCTATTGCAAACGGCAATGGCGGGGGTGTGGGCTTGTCGCCATGCAAGCTGTACTTCACTAGGCCATCCATGCTCCAGTATCAGTCTTACAATGTTCGAGGGGCGGGGAATACATATATAACATGTGTGTGTATATATATATATAGGTATACATTCACGTATGTATCCCAGTAATTACAATGAAATTGCTCAGGAGACAGGAGGCAGGCGGGCGATTGTCATGAGGGAGGTCAGGGCGCTTTGCGCTGCTTGCCGAACTAGTTTCAGGTTTGCAAGAGTCTTATCTGGTGCAAACGATTTTTGGGGGCCCGGTTTTCCCAACCCCACAACCTGTTCTTCGACACTTTAGCTCTTGGTGTTGGGGTCCAGGAAGAAACAGGCTGGGGGAGGCGTCCAGAAAAACAGGCTTCTCCATCAAAACATGGTTGGGGCTCCAAAAGCCGGCTGACAAATTGGTTGGTGGGATGGGGGGGCGGGTCGACTGGGCAGCCCGGCACAGGGGGAAGAGCATCGCCCCGAGGCCGCTCATCACCGCGAGCGCCACCTCAGACCGAGCGCTCAATGGCGACGGTAGCTTTCCTTCTTGGCTTCCCTAAAAATGATCAAGACGCTTCGCCCCAGGAAGCAATGTTCTACCAAGAGGGTCTGTGTCCTCAAAAGAGAGGGACCAAACAAAGTGGCTTGGGGATGGAACCGGTGGTGTCTTTTTTCTGGGTACCCTTCTTGCTGGGTGTGCGTCACAATAGCGGGACCCAAAACAGAATGGTTCTCCCTTTGGTTTCCCTTCCAGCCAAAGTGAAAAGGCCCATGCCCAGAAAGTGCGTGTGGGCAAGGGCATGTGGGCCGGTGCCACACTGCCCCGCAAGCCCTGAGCCACGTCATCCAAAAACAAATACGCCAAGCTTTTGGACTCGGCTCGCCATGAAGCCAGGCTCCAGAAAGAGTCTCCCGACAAGCCAAGTGTGTCAAGGGCGTGTACCCAATACGCAGTTGAAACCCAAAATTCGAAGATGGACATCCAATGTGGGCAAAAGCCACTGTCAAGAGCACCTTGTTGGCCAACACAGGGACCTAAATGGATGATCACTCTGGGCAATTTCTACCCTGCAATGCCGGATTCACGGATTCTCCAAAGTGAAACTTCAAGTTGGCCTTCGGCTACAAACTCTTCTCAGTGATGACCATGTGCCCCCGGCAGGCATCCAACGCTCTAGAGTCCCCGGCATCAGTCTGCACTTCCACTTGTGCCTCAGTGGCAGCAGCGGGAAGTAAAGAGGGGAAAAGACTCCTATGCAGAGCATCAACCGAGCATGCGCCAGGACTTGAAACCTAGCGATTCGAGCTCTATCATCAGGGCCTTCCGATTTGCACTGGCCAGGCAGCTACTCCAAACACGCGTGGCTCTCTTTGCGAATGGGTTCTCGAAAACGCGGCAAGCTTCTGGCCCCCGTGTATGGCTGGGAATGCCTCCTACCTGAACATGACCCCCAAAAATGGCGGTCCTTTTCATCTGATGGAAAAGCTGTCATGTTCTGAATGGTCAATCCCTTTGATGAACGGCGAAAACAAGCTCACCTAGTTTACACCCCCTTAAACATCACCCACTTAAAGGAAGCTCCGTCAAAAGTGGCTTGAACAGTGAGCTCTTGGAGCATTCTAGGGGCGCCAGGGGCACGGCATAGCCCACCGAAAGTTACTGTAACGTCCACCCAACCCAAATAAAGGATCCGGCTCGCTTTTGTAGCAGCTGCAACGACCCTGACATACTTGGATTTTGCCCGGTTCTAAGAATTCTTCCCAGTCGTTGCTCTATGATCGATCATCAGTTCAAAAAAAAAATGCATCCTGACTCAGATTCATGGCGAATTAAGTCTCTCGCGGGCGTGTCCAACCGAAACACCCGATGAACCTTTGGGGACTCTGACTGAACAGGGACCCACGAAACTCCGAAGACTTGCAAGACGGCGGGTGTGCTTTCGAGCCATGCCCACATGATGTTTCCAGACTGCGTTCGCGGAAAAGGATCCCCTCCGCCTTGAGGCTTAAGGTGGAATCTCCAACTTCCCCCCTTTCCGGATCGAAATCCCACCAATCAACCAGGCTTGATGCCTGGTTAGGCTCCCTGCAGGAAACCAAGAGGCATTTTGGGGGGCCACGAGTTTGAGAAACACCCGAATGAGTTTCTGTGGTTTCCCTTTGGATACCTTGGGTGTTTTTTTTTTTGGTTCCATCCGAGATGCAATTGGAGTCACAGTGATCGTCACCTTCTTGGTAGTGACGGTCACCTGCCGATTTCTGACCCAAGGCTTGCCTGCTTGAGCTAAGAACAACTTCCCTTGGATACAATTGGGTTTAACATACTCAAAGCAGGCATTGCTTTTACGTGTCCTTTAAAGAGCCCGTCAAAAAATGGGCTGCCCTCACTGCTGAATGCTTGTGAAAACCAGCTGATTTAGAGGATTGCAGCTGGTTTGTGTATCCTCAAACGCTCCCTGGAAGACAATCCGGACATTTTGGATCTGTCCATTTCACACCGATCCGATCCGTGACCAAGTCAGTCGGCGACCTCCTGCCAGTGGCAGCGGGGCCAATCCTAAGATGTTTGAGTTTGGGGTTGCACCGACTGCAAACCAAGTCCTCTCATAAGTTGGAAGGAGCCCAGTTTACAAGGGAGATCAAAACAACGGGTGTGTCTTTTCGTGACGGTAATTACCCTTCTGGGCGGTTGACTTCATGATTCCCCGCTTACTGTTTGACAACAGAACCTCTTCGCAAAAGCCGGAGCTTGGGCTCCCTCCGACCCCAGGAAGCAAGGTCCACTGCGTGTCCAGGAGCGAAGGTTCAGTACACCCAATCTCGAAGCCGCTGGGCCGCCTAACCCAAACCCACCGACCCCGAACCCCCCCTCCCCCTGCCCCCAACCCCAACTCCCCCCCCCTCGCCGTGACGTGCGCCAAGGTGGGAACCTTCTGCACCTCCTCCGTGAGGAAGGAGGTGGCCTGTGCGTTGGCGCGAAGGAATGGGGCCCAAGACGATTTGGGGTAGTTTTGCCGAATCGAGGTTCGTTCAAAAGGAAACCGCCCATTCCCGGGAGGTTCCTGAAGGGTACACTTTCTTGAATATGCACAGCGGACCGTGAAGAGAAACAAGTTTGTTGGGGGGTCTCCGTATTTGGATACCGCACGGCTTCCCTTTTAGCTTGGATTGGTTGGAGGCCCCATCCCGCAAAGGCCAGGGGTCAAATCCCCAAACCACCAATCCAAACCACCAAACCATGAGCTAGGGGTTGCATGAATTTCTACTCCAGTGAACGGACACCGAACCCAAGAAGGGGAAGAGAAGGACTGTTTTTCCTTGAAAAGGAGAGATTCCGTTCCTAGATAATCTGGGCAGGTCTGACTATTTGCACACCTGAAAGGGTGAATCCCCGTGAGGAATCATCATGGGCCAGATTCTTTGAGCGAATTCCTCGGTGAGGTCGCCATACATTGCATCGGATTGTTTTTGTTTTGTTTGAAATTCCACGGTAATCAGGGCAGTTCATGTCCTCCTCGCATGTTTTTGCTTTTCACTGAGACGGTGGGGGCCTTCTGGGTGATCCATCAGTAGACCCTGTTGAGTGACCCATCGAATGGCTTCCCACTGGCTTCTCTAGATGCTACACACATCAGGGATCCTTACATTATAAACCTGAGCATTGCCTTGTAAATGGTGGTGTCCCTTTATGTTGGTGGAAAACGCCATGTTTCAAATGGGCAAAATGTATCTTTTAAGGAGCCCTGCACATTTTTCGATGCAAGCCATCGAACTCCCTTTGTTATAAACTTCGGCTGCCCAAAACAAAGGACCCCAAACTCGGCCGAAAGCGACCCCCAAATGCAAGCCCATGCCCCACCACATCCTCCCGGGCACTTAGAGTCTGTTGCGATCAAACTCTCAAGGAGTGTACTTTTAAGGAGGCGACTCCTATCAATCCTCACTATTGTCTTTGGGAAACTGTTAGTGAGCAAACAACAAATCAGCCACAGACTGGACATCTTCACCGAACCTCCTATGTGCCAAATTCGGGGAATCCCCCGAACGGTTGGTTGCCCAAAAAGCTGATGACAAGCTCAACATGGGCTCTTGTGCAGCCCTCGCTCTGAAAACCAGTTCCTCACCCATCAGAGTGTTGAACCTGAAATCGGTTACATAACATGACAAAACTTTTCTAGAAGACGTTTCAGCTTTCTTTTGGTTTCCCGCAAACCACGAAATGGGTTCAACCCATTTACCCATTTTGTGACAGTCCCCTTCCCCTCCGTCCCAGTTCCACCCATCTTGAGACATGACGTCAAATTCCAATGAATCCGGAGGATCGTAGCAAGAAGGGTCGAATTCATGGTGGAACCCCCTATGGATCATACAAGAAAAGGAAGATCAAAAGCAAACCCATGCCGAGAAGGGCCGAATCCTATTTTGAGAAACCCCCGTGCGATGACCGGAGGAGCCGCCTCACAAGCAGGAAGCGGCTCCCAAGGTCCGTCACGTGGGGCACAAGCTCAAGGCAACCGGTCTCCAAGTGTCCAAAGGGCGAGCTTAGAGCTTGACATCTTTTGACAGCCAAAGGAGCAACAATTGGAGTTCAACCCATCTGCATCAACAGGGCTCCCTATATTTCCCCTTAAAACATCCCCCACCAAGGAATACTCCTATGGCCATGGATCAAAACCCCGTAAAACAGACTAAAATAGGTGGTGCACCCCAAAATGGCACCAGTGGTGTTGACCCATGGCCATATGGGAATCGACCCCCCTTGTTCCAGGCCCCGGTCTGCGGCGAACACGGCCACGCGGCCTCCTCCAAGGACATGGTCTCCAGCGCCTTTTGCCCGCTTTCCGCCACCTGGAGCGCCACCTCCACCCCCAGCGACGCCGGGAAGACGATGACCTCGCGCGCGTTTGGCCCGAAGGATGCAGGAGAATGGGGCGGGGAGGGGGAGGATAGAACTAACAAACATGAAACCGAAGGGAAAGAAGAGCTTAGAACTAACGAAGCATGAAGAAGCGGATCACTTCGGCTAGATGCCCCTTCTGGTTCTGTTTCAACAGGGTCAACAAGAGACATCCGCATCTTGAACCCTCATTTCGGTGCTTCCTGGCTGCCTGTCCTTTGAAACACCCACCAACCTCTGGCTGGTGTCAAGCCCATCCCTGACCCCACCTTCAAAGAGCTGCCAGTTTCTTCTCCCATGTGTATGCCCATTTCCGTTTGTTAGTCGTGCTAGCAAGTGCCTAAAAGAATGTGGCTAACATCTGATAGCGCCTAATGCCGATTACAACTGGCAGGTTGGCATCTCCTTCCAACACAGAAGTGATTCCCATGAGAAATCAGCGTGTGTCAAGCTGTGGTTGCATGCTCGCCCAAATCGTCAACATCAAACCAAATGGATCCCGTGAAACCTTGGGTTGGACCATCACATCCCCTTCGCATCTTTTGTGCATGACATGTTTCATGACCGAATCAATCGCACCCACCCCCATTCGCTCAACCACATCCCCGACCAACCCTTTCTGGCTCCTCGTTTCTGCATTCCCCACATCAGGACAATGAGCGCACCAAGCCCACGGGACCATTTCTGGATCAGCTCAGAACTCCAAGCCAAAACCACCGCTCAGGGCGAACCCATGCATTTCTCCAAGTCCAGGAAGAAAAAAAAAACATCGATGCTTCTTCACGCATCAGACCGGCAGCCCCGGCAGCCTCCAACAAGCCATAGGTGGCCTTTTGGCAAAAGTAGATGGCCCTGGCAAATGGAACAAACCCCATCTAAACCAGTGGAACCCATCTATTCTTAACCAAACTAACCCAAAAAGGACACCTAGGAGCCAATCTCCGGGCCAAGAACCTGAAACTGTCACAGGCGAGGGGCGTAGTCCGCGCGCAGGGACTCCTGCAGGCGCCGGCCCGTCAGACGCCGGGCATCGCAGCTCGCGCCCGCCGTGAGGGCTAAGTCCTCGCAAGCCAGACACTGGGAGCCACTCCCACAGCCAGCTTTCTGTTGGAAAGGCCCCGCCTTTCTCCAAGGGGAAAAACATGTGTGAAGCACATGGCATGCTAGTTTTCGTGCTTGGCATAGCAAAATATCTCAGAGTGCCGTGCTTCAGGGAAAAAAAATCAGCGAGCACGTGGCCAGGGCTCTTCCACAGGAAGAGCATCTTTGAAGATTGGGCACCATGCCTGCTTGTTCTTAGGGATATGAAGTGAACCTGCCCATTCCCTTACAATCACCCAATTGCGGCCGGTAAGGGGTAAATCCCAGGTTCCCTGCTTGGAACAAGCAAGCTTCTTGATGTTCAAGCAGCAGTTCTTGCACAGCCTGTTTACACATCGAAACTCCCCTGTCAAAAGGAATCTTGCAGGTGCCAAAGCCATGCGATCCTCTGGCAAAGGCTCTGTCGGGGGAGTGCCGGAGTGCCCAGCCCCGGCAAATGTTTGCACCAACCAACGCCTAACTCCTCCAACCTCTAGCTTCCCTGACCTGCTATGGGTTCTGTAACCTACAATATGTCCAACCTCTAGAAATCTCAAGAATTGATCCAACCTGTAACGTCCCTAACCTCCAACTGCGGCAACCCCTAACTTGCTTGACCTGAAAATTTATCTCTCACCTCTGGCTCCAACCTCTTAGTTGTCAAACCTCTAACTTCTACAATGTCTAGCTGTCCCTACCTCCAACCTGGTCCAACCTCTCCAACCGCTAGCTCCAACCTCTAGCTCCAACGCTCTAACCTCCTAGCTAACCTCCTATCTGACCTGTAAGCTATCTAACCTCTGACATGCATTGATGATCGATTAGATCAGGCAGTCCTGACAACGGATGCATGCCCCTCTGCCCAGTTTTATCGACACACATTTGCATCACGCGTATGCATGTGTACATGTGATGGTTCCTTTATACTGCAATTGCATGTATGTAAGTACATACATATACATATACATACATATATATATATACATGCAGTGTGATGTTTAATTCGAGACCCTTTCTTGACATCATTTAGGCAGGTGCTTCCGCAACAAAGTGCATACTCATGTGGAGTACAAAAAAAAACACGTGGGTGTGAGTGTGTGTACATGTGTTTCGGCTTCACATTTGTGCTTAGCATTGGCTCAGGACGCGGACCGTGCTCATGAATGAGCCACTAGATTTTACTGAGCATTCATTGGGGTATGTGTCAAAATAGGGAAGCCCCTGTCTGCATGGTTGTGTTGAACTTTGCCTTTTGCACAAGGTGCGTGTTGCGGGGAGGACAAACCATGTAGCGGACATGCGCCTCCCAAAATGTCCCAAATCCCAAATCCAAGCCTTGGCGGTTCCAAACATCGGGCTGGCCAATCCTTCATCATCCCTATTGGGAAACACTTGGATTGGGGCGCCAAGCCCTTTTGGTAACTTATAACCCAAGTTGGAAGGCTGAACAGTCTCAAATGGAGGGACATGTGTCACACAAAGGTCGCAACGCGCAATCTCCTTGCTGAACCCGGTTCAAGCCCTTGCTCGCCAAACTCCCGATTCATCCCCTTCCTGCACATACTCGGGCTGCACATCTTCCCCGGCGGCTCTGGCCAGCATCTCAGATGGATTCGCAGATTCAATTGGTCAGCGACGAAGGCCAGGATGGGCCATGTTAACCCCGGATTACTCAACCAGCTGGGGTTGAGACCAATTTGTTTGCATTCCTTCGAAATTGATTTTCCTTAAAACGATCAAAAACACACACCAACATGGGTATGAAGGGGATGATGCTTCTCACGCACAACCTGCCTTTTGCCATTTGGTTTACCTCTTGGTTTTGAGGGTCAACAAAAACACTGGTCGTGGGTCGGAAGAAAGAGGTCGCCTAAATATGAAATGTGAATTGGAAGCTGAATTCTGGCGGATATCAGAAGTACATGGCTGCATTGTTTGCCAACATTATCGAGAATGTTCGCGGCGAAAATTCGCAGCCGCATGCGTTGCAGAAGGGGAATGAGGGGAGTGATACCACCCCCTCACCAGGAAAGGTTCTTAGAAACATCCTAGATGGGGGTAGTGTGAGAACCTTCCAACCGCAATAGCCGACCACCTTTTTGGATGATGTTGAGAGGGACAGAGAGAGAGAGAGAGAGAGAGAGAGAGAGAGAGAGAGAGAGAGAGAGAGAGAGAGAGAGAGAGAGAGAGAGAGAGAGAGAGAGAGAGAGGGAGAGAGAGAGAGAGAAAGAGAAGGAGAGTTACTGGGGTTTCCCTGCTTTTTAATAAGCCTCCCCAGAAAAATGCCCAAAATCAAAAAGGAACAATGCCTTTTTTCCATGGGGTTTCCCCACAAAATACCTCAAAACAACGCCCTCAGGCCGTCTTCGCACCGCGCCCTTCGCCCCCCTCAGGGGCCCTCGCATTGCGCAGTGCGCCACGGCCATCCTCCGAATTCGTGAAGGCTCCGGCATCTGACACCGACAGGCCCAAACCTCGCCATGCGCAAAAGGGCAAAAGGGCACGGCAAAAAATTGAGTGTTGCACTCGTGTAGCTGTAGGCTGGTGGCTTGCCTTCTTTTTCTTCTTCTTCTTGTAGTTGTTACTGTTGGTGGGGGGTCTGAGAACACACGGGTCCCTGTTTTTGAGTGTAGCTCCTTGTAGAGACAAGAAGCACTTGTCCCCTTGCAGCAGGCACAGAAATCAACACGGGGCCCGCCAAAGCGCGCACCTGTGAACAAATGATGGGTTTGCATGACAAATGACGGGTTACCATGAAAACATGATGGGTTATCATGAGCAAGTGATGGATGTTCAATGAAACAAAATGAATTGTCGCAAAAAACGATGGAGGATTGTTCATGGACAAAATGATGGATGACCATTCAGAAAAATATATCATGGATTTTCATGATTCGATCATGGAGTTCATGTTTTATGAACAAATGCTGGAGTACCACGAAATATGATGGAGGTTTATGTAAGCATGATGAATGTTCATGTTGTGTAACGTAACGTAAGGTAATGTAATGTAATGTAACGTAATGTAATTCTATGTCATGTAATGTAACGCAACGTGATGTAATCTAACGCAACGCAATGTGTTGTAATCCTACAGCTTCGCCATCGCCAGCTGCGCTTGGCACCCTTCCCACCCTTCCCACCCTTCCCAGCCTTCCCAGCCTACCCTTCCCACCCTTCCCACCCTTCCCACCTTTCCCACACTTGCCAGCCTCCCACCCTAGCCACCCATGCACGCGTGCGTGATTTTTTGCGCGTGCGTGCGTGCCTGCCAGCGCGCTTGCGTGCTGGCGGGCTTGCGCGCCGCGCGCGCGCTGCACGGGGCGCACACCCAAAGCCAATCAGACGAAGACTGCATCCCCGGCATCCCCTCTCAGCCCCACAGAAACGAGCGGAAGAAAAGGAATAAACTCACGGTATTTGCGAGATTTTTCGCACAGTGGCGGCGGCCCCGCTTTCGCAGAGACCCCGCTCACTATACCCGCTATGTCCGCCTACCACCAAACCTTGTCCCAGGGGGCCATTTTTGGATGCATGCTGGGGATGCTGGTGAGCGTGGCATGAGGAGCCCGTCGCAAGGCCAGGGATGTCGGAGTGTTTTGGGATCCAAATGTCTGGGCTGGCCTGTGTCCGAGTGATGCAGGTGATGCTGAGGAGGTCCTGGTGCAACAAAATGCCCTCGCTCTTCGAGATCGAGACGCACAGCGCAGCTGGATTTGATGTAATGTAATGTCATGCAATGCGATGTAATGTAATGTATGTATGCATGTGTGTACGCAACGAATGAATGTAATGTACGCACTGTAAGACATGTAATGTATTGTAATGCGATGCAATGTGATCTAGTCTAATGTAATGTATGTATGCATGCGTGCACGCAACGAATGAATATAATGTACGCACTGTACTTGATTAATGACATGTATCCACTGTATGTCATGCATGTGATGTATGTATGTGTGTAATGTCTGTACTGCATGTAATGTATGTAGGGCATGTTGGGTATGTATGTATGTATGCATGCATGCATGCATGCATGCATGTATGCATGTATGCATGTATGTATGTATCTATGTATGTATGTATGTATGTATGCATGCATGCATGCATGTATGCATGTATGCATGTATGCATGTATGCATGTATGCATGTATGCATGTATGCATGTATGCATGGATGCATGTATGCATGTATGCATGTATGCATGTATGCATGTATGCATGTAGGCATGCGTGCATGCATGCATGCATGTATGCATGCATGTATGCATGTATGCATGTATGCATGCATGCATGTATGCATGTATGCATGTATGCATGTATGCATGTATGCATGTATGCATGTATGCATGTATGCATGTATGCATGTATGCATGTATGCATGTATGCATGTATGCCTGTATGCATGTATGCATGCATGCATGCATGGATGCATGTATGCATGTATGCATGTATGCATGTATGCAAGTATGCATGTATGCATGTATGGATGTATGCATGTATGCATGTGTGCATGTATGCATGTATGCAGGTATGCATGTATGCATGTATGCATGTATGCATGTATGCATGTATGCATGTATGCATGTATGCATGTATGCATGTATGGATATAGGTATGTAGGTATGTAGGTGTGTAGGTGTGTAGGTCTGTAGGTATGTAGGTATGTAGGCATGTAGGCATGTAGGTACGTGGGTATGTAGGTATGTGTGTATGTGTGTATGTATGCATGTTTGTCTCTGTCTGTCTGTCTGTCTGTCTCTCTGTCTGTCACGTATGTATGCATGCATGTATGTATGTGCGTATGTTGAGTTGTGGTGCGTTACGTTGCATTACGTTACGTTATGCTATGTTCTGTTGTACTATGTTGTGTTATAGTGGTGTTGCGTTTGTGGTATGTGTGCATGTATGTATGTATGTATGTATGTATGTATGTATGTATGTATGCATGCATGCATGCATGCATGCATGCATGCATGTATGTATCTATGTCTCTATGTATCTATGTATCTATGTATCTACATATCGATGCATCTATGTATCTATGTATCTATGTATGTATCTGTATATCTATGTATCTATGTATCATGTATCTATGTATCATGTATCTATGTACCATGTATCTATGTATCATGCATCTATGTATCATGTACCTATGTATGTACGTATGTGTGCATTTACGCGTGTGTGTGTGTGTTTATCTATGTATCAATGTATCTATGCATGTATGTAGTGCTACGTAGCGTTGTGTTTGTTTCCAGCAGCAGCAGCAGCAGCAGCAGCAGCAGCAGCAGCAGCAGCAGGAGCAGCAAAAGCAGCAGCGACGACGACGACGACCACAACAACGACAACAAAAACATCGCTGTTCCCCCGTACAATCACTTGGCGGAATAGCCCATTGAAGAAAAAACCTGCATGTGAAAGCCAGCTGATCTCCATGTCGGCTGTAGCCATCTGCAGGTTGTGGAGCAGATGGGTCCCATGGCAGGACTCTTGCCAGCGACCCATGATCAAAGCTGCCAGAACCCCCCCGCCACGAATCATCCCCAAACACTGAGCAAACCAAAAGCACCCGCAGGGGTGGTCCGCCCGCCAAAGGCGATTCAGGTTCTGACAGGTGCCCCAGCAAACACTTATGTTCGCGATGGGGTGCTTCCACCTTTGCAAGGGGGTTGTGCCCTCAAATTGCTCAGACTGAATCAACCACTTTTGGAAGGAAACCCAGCTGTCCAAGATTCCAAAAGGCTAACTCGTACTCGTTGGCCTTCCTTGGGTTGAAGCGCGCAGCCCTTGGGCCCCCGGCAGCCCTCGAGGCTGGCCGGCGCTTGCATGGTGGAGGTGATCTCGGGTTCGGCTTGCCGAAGCTTTTTGGGGCCCTGCGCACTCCGGAGGGCAGACCTACCTCTTTCCAAGAATTTGGATGTTCGTGGGGAGCCGTAGCCCCATTTTTCAGGAGTGGGTTGGATCTGGAAACCAAGGCTTGGTGTGTTCCCTTGTCCACTTCCGTGATTTGGAAAAAGGGAACTCTTTCCCAACCAAGGCTTGCGGTGATTTGACAACCTTAAAATAAGGTTGTTCCTCCGCATTTAAAAAACATATGAGACGAACTATTCACACACCCGGAGTCAGAAATGGACCCCAAAATAAGGAACATTCATGGGTAGCTATGCCGCACACTGGTAAGGCTGCCTGGCCATGCGAATTTGTACCGGACATACCTGGAAAAGGCAGCCTCCACTTTGGGGTGCGCAAGTGATCTTCTCAAACACGCAGACCGAAAAGGAGACACACATGTGAGTGGTCAAAATCTGCTGTTCTTTTAATGGGCATGGGACACTTTGAGCTCCGGATGCCGAAGTCCCGAGCCCCCGAATTGACCGTAGACAACTAGAAAAGCTTCTTGGCAAGAAGACAGGCGGCCGTAGAGGAGGACACAATTGAAGACACAGGAACAACACCCCCTTACCTTCTCTGCTGAGCCAAGTTGAAAGGATCCTGACGGCTTTCAGCAGCCCCGAGCAGACCAAAAAGGAATGTGCCCGCGAACCCTGCCACCCACCACAATGCCACACCAAACCCACAAGGTCCTTGCATCTTTGAAAGCCAAGAACCCATCCGTTCGTCGGATTTAGTGGCAACGTAACCCTGCGGTTTTAGAAAGACAAGGGGTGTCCTCATGTGTTGACTTTTTAGGAGACTACCGAACCACCCCCTCACGTGGATTCCACCGGAAGCTCGCTAAGGAATATTGGTCTTTCAGGGGCCTCCAGTCAGGTTCCATCGGTTCCGAAAGAGTATGTGCTGATGGCCAGAATGAGCCCGTGCAACACCAGTTGAGGCAACCAACTGACACCAAGAAGCAAGTCATTGCGCAAGCCGGAACACATACCAGGCCAACAAACTCAACCACATCTAGCTAAGCTGGTAGTGTCAACATACAGCCGGCACGCGGATTCCACCCACACTACCAAATACATATTTATTTGAAGCTCCCTAAAGCGAAGTTGATGTAAAAGGGTTTGCCCAACTGCGTTTACCAGGACCCAAACGCCACGGGTCCAGCTGCTCCGACCCATGGGTGGGAGTTGCATCCAAAACACCGTGGTGGTGGTAATGCTGGTCCTGGTGCTCGTGGCGGTGGCAGTGGTGGTCCTTGGCCATCCGACTGTCTGATTATGAAGGAACCCAAACGGGCAAAAGGGCAAAAGGCGATGTTGCCAAGGGGTAAATCCATGCCGGGAGCAAAAAGGTTGGTCAAGTCTGGCGAGGCGGCGTCGTCGACGTCGTCTCTGTGGTGACGGTGGTCGTGGTGGTGTTGGTCTCCGTGCTGGTCGCAGATGTCGAGGTGACCTCACAAGGCGAAACGCAAAACCCGGAAATCGCTGAACTCGGCGAAACCCCGACATCGGGTTTCGCCAATTCTTCGGCCGATTCAGGCCAGCCCGCAGCTTCAGTTTTGGGGGAGAAGTGAGGAGCCACCTGGATCGTGTGGGCGCCGGCAGGTCACCCCTGAAGTGGTAAGATCAATGCAATTGTGCTTGATTGGCCTTCAATTTCTGACTCATTGCCTTGATTTCAATAGCCTGGCGCCATAGGTAACCGTTTTTTGTTTTTGTTTTTTACTAGGGCTGTTTTTTTTCCTGGGGCTAGTTTTCCGCAGGGCTGGCAACATCCCCAGCATCACCAGCATCACTGGGACCTGGGGTTGGCCTATTGGCTCTGATTGGCTTAAGTTACGGGGGCTTTTGGCTTGGATCTTCATGAGGGTGGGTCTTGGGTTGGTTTGAGGTTGATTTGGCGAATGGAAGACTGACATCCAGGCTGCTGTTCGGCAGGTTTAGGGTTGACTTTGAGTGGGTTTTTGGTTGGTTTGGAGCTGACTTGTGTTAGTCCCCAAACCACCCCAAGACCCACCCTCATGAAGATCTAAGCCAGCCAAAGCCCCCCTAACTTAAACCAGCCCCCAGCAACTCGCAACTGCCATGAAATCAAAGTGAGGCTGGTGATGCAGGGGATGCGGCCAGCCAACCAACCAACCAACCAACCAACCAACCACCCACCAACCAACCAACCAACCAACCAAGCAACCAACCAACCAACCAAGCAACCAACCAACCAACCAACCAGCCAGCCAGCCAGCCAGCCAACCAACCAACCAGGGAACCAGACCTAGTAAAAAAAAGAAAAAGAAAAGACCCCTGGCACCATATCCATGCCAAAACAGAAGCAGCCAATCATTGGAACCAACAAGCGCAGCCTTTTTGTGTGACTGAATCACCCCCCACATTCCAAGCCGATGCTCCCGGCTCCGGGATCCTGTCGGCCAATGCTAGCAGAAACCTCTGACGCTTAATGTGTTTCACTGCAAAGCGGAACCCCTTCTGGTTTCACTGTCAAACACAAGCCGGGCCCCTGATCCCAAAACAGAAACCCAAACATGTACGGTCACTAGGGAGAGAGTATGCAAGAGAAGGCCGAATCAGCTATTAGGTGACTTTGCAGATGGTGCTGAAATGCTGATCTGTGTGTCGCAAGGTAAGCGCTGGTTCTTTCACATGATTGCTTAAAACAGAGATTGTATTCAACGCTATTTGTATGTACAATATATGTATCTATGTATTTATGAATTGCAACAAATATATGTATATATATATATACATAAACGCCTCATTCTTTGAAAACTGCCTAGTTGCGTCTAAACCGTGCGCACCCCATTATGCTGGGTGTTGCAAAGAATAAAGGATTGACCTGACATGAACACAGGCTCTCTCCCACTTGCAAACATGTGGCGTGAGTCAATTCCTCTACGGTTCAAAACCACCGGGTCGTTCTCACGCCCAAGGTGCAGCAAGCATTTCCCCCACCCCCGCTCTCCGGTTTCAGGGAGAGGATCGTGGCATATCGAAGACCTTCGGGGATCGACTTTGACGAATGCTTAAGCAAAAACTAAACAAAGAAAACCTGATTGTTGATGCGTTTCTTCCAACCACCAAAAACGTAAAAGCCCTGCCCACGGCTTCTTCAGAGAAGCCACCAAATAGAGAAAAAAACAACTCCAAAGCTACATCGCTCTGATGGCCATGTCGGGCGTTCAATGTCCGGGCCCCTGGCAGTGGCAGAAGTGGAGGAGATGGAGCGTGTGGTAGTTGTGGTGCTGCTCCTGACAAAACAAACCCTCACGTCGCAAAACAACTGCTAGACTTAAACTCCAAGTGAAGAACGGGTTGGTTCCACAACTATGCATCGCTATCACAGGAAACTAACAAGCCCTCCCATAAACAGGCGGTGCACCAGTCTTGCTTGGAAGATTGCATTCCTGGAAAGTGTGCCACTTGTGGGAGAGTCGGATCTGAGCTCTTTCTGATCCAGTGCCTTTGGAACCAGGGGGTCTACCGCTTCAGATTCGCACCTATGGTTGGGACTCCCCCCGCTTCAGCTGTCCGGGCGTTGCGGCAGGGCTTGCAGCTGGGTTTGCGCCCCGACCACAAAACCGTGGATGTGGATGATGGGATTGTAGACAAGCTTCCACTAGCATGGCGGGTGACTGTTGGTGCTTTGGGGGGAACAAGCCCCCCAACAACTACAAGCTATAGCAAGATTTGATATGTCTATACATGCATACAAATGTGTGGCTACACACGCACATCATATATGACGTCATACAGGTATGAACTTTATCTGGTTGGACCCTTTCGTGGTTGGATGCATCCACAAAAACATATTTTAGTCACCTGGCCTGGCCAGTTGGGAAGATTGAAGGTTCGAACGCTTGGAGGTTGATGCTGGTGTGACTCCAAATGGTGGAAACGCACCAAAAGGGCCCGGTGTCCCTTTGGTTCTCCTATGTTCTCCTCTACAACAACTCCAAAAGGGTGCTGACTCGGAGGAAAAAGATGCACCCACCTCGTTTGAGCAGCGCCCAAAACCACCACATCGACTTCAACAAGTGTTTAGGCCTCACAGTCCCCTCTACCGCGAGGCCAAAAAGTCCGGTGCGTTGAAGCCTGTCTTAAAGACTGCGCGGCTCAGAGGTAGCAATCTGCAGCCTACTCCCTCACTCACCTGGCCATCGAACTTTGGGTGCTCATGGACCGCTAGTCTAAGCAAAGCACCCCTCATGGCCACGGGTGGCGGGAGCAAAAAACTCCTGGTGGAGCTGGAGGTGACTGTGGTGCTGGATCCGGTGACCGTGGTGACGGTGTCCTTGTCCGATACGGAGAGCGCACGCGCCAGGGCAAACGCGGACTCTGTCGGGAAACGCAAAGCAGGGGCTTGGTTTGGAGACAGAGTTAAAGGAAACGACCTATGTTGCAGCATGTGGGAGGGTCGCCTATCTTCAGTGCGGGAAACTTTCGGATTGCACTTTTGGCTGATAGGAATCCAATCCTACGGAGTCGTTGACCGAGGTGAACACTGAAAAGCCGCATGTTGAAACAAGAGGTCGAAGAAGGAAAGGTATCAAACACCACTTGGCAAAGCTTGTGTTGCTGGTTCGAGGTCCCAAAAATGGGTCCCAGAATCTTGAGAACCATCTTGAGATGGACCACTATTGTCGAAGCTGCTGAAATATCGACTCGTTTCAGGAGGGCCCCAAAATCCATAGACTTTCGGATATGCCCGTAAAAGGTTTGCACAGGCTATATAATCCAAAATCAAAACTAGCAGTGGAACTACCTGAACAATAAATATGTTATTGGCCGCTTCTTCCATATCGGTTTCCCTGCAATTTCAAGCAGATCGTGGCAACTGGCAATTCCAGCTGACGCCGGCACGTTGAAATCCAACCATCCTCTTTATCGTGGAATCCTTGTCAAGTCCCTTCTGGGTTGGCCGAAGACACTTGCGTTGGTCTCACCTAGGACCGTCAGAACGCATTGCTGGCAATCACCTGCAGAAAAACACGGCAAGATATCACGATTTGGCAGCCCCAATATGGGCTTTACACGGATCGAACAGGGCTCTCTGGAACATCAAATGTCTCCGAGGAAACTCGCACATGGGACATATTTTAGGATACAAGAATCCTTCCTTTCGGGGCACAACACCCCCGTATCTGAAAGGTTCTGAAGCTGCAGACTGCAGTGTAAGATTCCCTTCCCCACGGGAAGATGTCGAAATAAGTGTTTGGCCCTTGACACCCTAGTGACGCGAGTTTGCATCCTGTTTGCTTTTGTCCTCGGGAAACAACGGTGTTGACCCCTGATTGATAGGGTCCCTGGAAGCACAGAACCGATGGGACCCAAAAAGCTGAATCTCCAAAAGGGGACCTCCTTTTTGATCAGGAAATCTTGCCGCAATGTTTTACATGGTGTCCCCCGGACAGCCATGGCTTACCAAGCGCTGGTGGATTGAATCTCCTGAGAAACCCATCCGATCCCAAGGCCGAGCTGCAGTGGAGGTGGTGATGGTCTGGCTGGTGCTGGTGGTGGAGCTTCGAGTGGACGTAGTGCTGGTGCCTCGTTGGGCGAAAGAGAAGCCGGTTTCGACCTCGCCATGTGTGAGGAAACCACCAGGCAACGGGGCGTCACTGAACTGGGAAATGTTCCTAGATCCTCCAGCATAGCGTGCATTCTGATCATTCTGGATTTGTATCTGTGCTATAGTTGCCACCATTATCAACATGGTGATGATGAGTATGATCATAAGCATCGTCATGATATCATCTGTCGGGAATTCGGTTGTGGACAGTACTGTTCTTGTTGATTATATAATTTGTCATGATCCTGATCCTCGTTAGGAGCAGCGCGGGGCGGCGGCGGCGGCAGCAGCAGCAGCGGCGGCGGCTGCAGCAGCAGCAGCAGCAGAAGCAGCAGAAGCAGCAGCAGCATTATCATTGCTATTGCTATTGGCATTGCCTTACTCTCAGTCGTACAAGTGGCATTCATATTCTTTCATGCTCCTCATAATCAGTATTCTGGGCAAAATACTATGATTCCCGGACTTCTTCTTCCTCCTTGCATCTGATTCCCGAACTCGAAATACGGGAACCCCAGGTACAGGACCTTTATCATGGGTGAGCACGTGAGCTCGTCAAAATCGGCCCGGAATCAAAGCTGCCCCCGTGGAAGCCTATGAGCACCCAACCGACTGGGCGACGAATACACCAAATCCTCCGGCCATCGCCCAAACTGGGTCCCTGGGTGAAGAATCATTGAGGGTCCATTCCCTGGGACGCGGTTTCGGAAAGAAGCCACATGCCCGACAATCGTTTGCGAAACTGCACCCGCTAAGCTTTCACCAGTCAATCAACCAACCTTGATTGATTGGTTTTGGCTCCAGCCCACTTGAGATTGGACCACTCCCAAGCCTCCCGCTTGCCCGAGGGATACGACAGAATCGTGGGCCTACGCAATTAGAAAGCCGGAATCCAAATCATACTTATTGTTCAATCTCTCAAGATAGCTCCTCTAAAAATGAGAGTTGTTCCAACAGTAAGCGGAGGCAAGCCGCCAAACTGTGAGGTTACCTGGAGTAGACCCGAGTTACCTGGAGTAGACCCGTCAATGAGGGAATATCCGCTTGAGCTCTAGGTTCATTCCCTCACAACCCCAGAGCCTGCAAGATGGGCGAATGCAGCAAGCCGTTATGGGAGGGTCGGCGATCAATTGCCCGGGTGCGGGGGCTTCCCCGTTTGGTGAGAGGGTAGCCCTTTTTTCCCTTGAACATTGTGGATTGTAGTTGCAACCCTTTGGATCCGCTGAGAAGGTTCCTGTTTACTAGTTGTTTCAACGGCTGGGTCGGAAGGCCAATCTGCCTTGCGGCCCTGCCAGGCAGGTAAGTAGGTTCCGGGGCTGGTGGGAATACTCTTTGGTCCTCTCTATTCATTATCCCAAGGGGCCCGGCTCAGAGCCAGCAAGACAAATCAGCCCCTTCCCCAACAAAGGCCCGGTTCATTCCCAACACCTACTGAAAACCGGCAAGATGCGGGGGAAACGCAGCAAACCGCGCTTGATGGGAGCGGCTTTCAGGAAGCCACCAATGATTCAAACATTCCCTCATTCAACTAAGATTCCCCGCCCCATCAAACAGGTGTCCAGTATTTTGTGGAGGGTTTCCCCTTGGTCACTGATGCCAACCCTGCACTTGTTTGAGGGGCCGTCCCCAGGAAATCCGCTGGGCTTTCGGACGCTCCACGATGGGCACGATGGCGCCGGCGGCCAGCCGCTCGGCGCCCTGTTTCGACCCGTCCGTGTCCAGTGTTTACCCGGAGCAATGACTTGGTGCGAGCGGGGAATGTGGAGAATGCACCCGGGAATGGGTGGGTGCCCAAGGAAACCATAGGGGATGCTTAAAAAGGGGGTCATTCCCTCATTCCCTGCTCACCAGCAAGATGATGTGAAATGTTCGGCCTTTGGGGGTTCCTTGTAGAACCCCGGACTTCGGAAGCCCCGCTTGAAGGGTGCCAAGCAAAGTAGCTATCCGCATAGCAAACAAGGTCGAGAACTGTACAGCGTGTTCTCGTTCATAGGGGCAATTTGTCGCAGATATACCAATCACTCCTTGCTGAATGCTTGTGACAGTCTCGTCCTTCAACTTATTCTTGGGCGGAGTCAAAGAATAGGGCATCCAACGTGGGAGAGTTGAAAATGCCGCCATTTCGGGAACTGAATTGCTCAGAGCAACCCTGATAATAAACAGTTCTTTCTCCCAACCCTGAGTATCTCGCAGACCTAAGCGGAACCCGGCCTGGTACGGCACCACCATGAAGCCAAAGTAGTCCTCGCTGGACCGCTTTCGACTTCAAGGGAACTCATTGACCCCAAAAATTCCACAAGTAAGGAACCTTCAGCATGCCTTTGCGCTCATTTGGACCATGCGGAGAGTTATTTTGGAGCTATTTCCAAACTCCGGGGAACCCGGCTGAAATGAGGTGGTGTCCCCTGGGTTTCCTCTTCCCCTACGGAAAGAAAAAGCCTAGGGGCGTTGACGCTTTGCCCCCTGTGGGCGTGCCATCTTTTTGAGGAGATCCGCTTCTTGGGTTGCGTTGAAGCGACACCGAAAGGAAAACCGTTGCGCCACGTTCGGGGCTCCCCCCAAAAAAAGTTGCGACGAGCCACCGAAGGCAGCGCCATGTTCACGTCCAGGCTGTAGGTGCCTCACGAACCCCACATACTTAAAACCTGGTGGATGAACTCGGGGAGGATTTGCTTCCAACAAGCAAAGGCCTCCCCCCCCTTTTTTGGACACACACACACATAGCTCATTGCAGGGGTTTGGTAACCAAGGGGTCGCACAATCTGCTGGCATAGGCAATCAGGTATTGCACCAGGGTTTGTATGATGGTTTCCGCTGATCGCCTACTACAATGGTAGCTAGAAGCACGGTGTCCGGTCATCACTCACTCCAAACTGGGGGGGGGGGTTGGGCCAAAACGAGTTTTACCTCTTTGCAGAAGGGCTGAAAATAGGATGGAGCCAACAATTGTGGAACAGCTGTGACAGTTTTGACGGCATTGGTGTGACCCAACCATAGGCCCAAAGCGGCTGCTCAAGCCCCCGCTCGCGTTGCGAGCGAGGCTCGGGTGAAGACTTGACAAGAACTCGCTGATGCTCTTTCAAACGGCTCAGCAGGAGGGCCAAAGCTGCAGTCTTGCGTCTTGGAATGGCCAAAGCAAGGCCCGCACAGAATCTCCAGCAACCATTCGATGAAACGAGCAAAACATGGCCAGTTTGACCAAACATAGACTTGACATTCTGGGGCCGTATCCTCTTGACGGCTTGGATTTAGACCCGGTCATGGTTCAAGGACAGAGACAGAAACGAGAGCTGGGCCGATGGTGTTTGGCTTTGACCAAGGAGGCCAACAACAACTGGTTGTCGCAGATGGCCGAACCCATGTTCTGTTTTCTCTTGAGTTCTCCTTTCACAACCCATGCCAACATCCGAAGCTTTGGTTTGCTGAGTAACTGGCTGGCTTTCCCTCTATACAGGAGAGCCAATTTTCGATGTGCAACACTCACCCATTCGGCGCAGGCGCTTGCGTCGCAGCACTCGGTCATCCATGTCTCCATGGGCGCGCTCCTTGCTGCGTGGGTGGGGCCAACCACAAGGTATACGCTGTGTAGATGGCCGTGGCTTTTCGTAGCGATGTTTGAAGGATGGAAAGAGCTCATCGGCTCTATCCGCAAAAGCACCCCAAAGCCCCAAGAAAACGTCGATCAATGATTCACAACGGTGAAACAAGCTTCAGTTCCAAGCATGCTTGATTGAATGCGGTCGCCAAAGTTCAGGCGCCGTTCTCTGCTTCGCAAGCTGAGGTCTTGGCCTGCCCGAAAACACATCCTCGGAGGGCCTACCCCAACAACAACATGTCAGTCCAGGATTCACAAGCCTCATCAGCACGAAACGCACGACATCTATATTCAAAAATGAACCGCGTACGTGATTATCCCCATCCCTGCAACCCCACCCCCCCACCCCCGGACCATGCCCTCAACATGGGAACTGTCGAGTTACACAACGTGCAGCATCTTCAAAAGCGCAACGTGGGCTGAATGGATCCTGAAAATACCCTCGATACGGACAGGTGTGACAGCGCGGAGGCAGCTCTCTGTCTTATGGTGGTGCAAGCTCTATGCTTATTGGTTGAAAAAGCTGCTTGTGGCTTCCTTCTAGAGAGGGACGAGATCTCAAGTTTTGCCCAACTCTGGTCCCATGGGATGTGTGAAATGGAAGAAACGTCAAACAAGAAACTGCCCTGGGAAAAGTGTGCAGAAACCGGCAGCGAGTCGATTCCTTTTTGTACTTGCAACATGTCCTCTGTGATTGGGACCTGCCGACTTCTGGCTTGACCGGTTGCAGGTCAAACTGACACAGACAAAGCATCAGTAAACATCTAGAACTAAGGTTCAGAGGGGCATTCTCCCCATCCCAACATCCGGCTGGGAAAGAGGCATGAAAAATCCGGCTCACGGGGAGGTGGGAGGCGCGCAGGAGCCAAATCGTCTTGGGACCCAAGGAGGGCACGGTTTCACCTTCCGTACGGGCGCACGGTGAGGAACACTCAAGGCCCAAAGAAAGCTGCGGTGAGTCTGGCTTCTGGGAGGGAGTTCTGTTCTCAAAGCACTTGTTTGCCCCAAAGACATGCAGGAAGTGCCCCCTTTCAAAGCCCCAATCGCCTCGGAAGGCCCCCCCTTGAAGTATCTCTCAGGACACACCCCGACCAAGATTCACCGAGGGTTCATTGATTTTTCCCGCATTCTGATGCAGAGCTCAGGCTTACCAAATTACCGTCCCGACACCTTTCTTGGTCGACAACTTTGGGTTCCGAGCGTCCAGTCATCAACTATATACCGCTTTTAAGGGGGCAACCATACCCTCCAATTTCTATGGAAGTGCACTGACTCCCTCTTCAAGCGGGCGGTATGTTTCCTGAAAGATGGGTTAATGTACCCATGTTTTTGGGGTAATGGCCACAAGCTTCATGGAGACTCTAGGTATTCCACAGATCATGGAACTCAACAGAGTCCCATTAGAAAGGCAAACCCCTCCTCTTCTGGAGGCTGGCAACGAAGAGGAGCCGCTCCCCACAGCTATCCACGATCCACAGCTCGTAGCCGTCCAGCATGGACCTAAGGAAGTTCATGGGGAATGGGCCAGTTCTCCTGGGAAAAATTGGTGCGGCCCCGGGTGTCAATGGTTCAATCATAGAAACCGACGGCAGGATGTTCAAGTCAAATACCCACCATGAGCAAGGATTTCCCTGAAGAATGTCCTGTGGCTGGTTTCTTGAAATCTATTGCTCAGGAAGGTCTTCGAAACAAAGCGAGTTTTCACGCGACAAAAACTGTGGAGCTCCCCGCTCGCTGACCACCCTGAAATGTTAACTAAGTACACGGACCTTCGGACCTTCTTCGAGAACCATATCATGTCTGTCCCAAGAGGTGGGTCGTCTTTGGGAAAAACAGCTCCGGAGCTCCCTTCTCCGGGCATAGACCTCACCTCTCGTTCCCACAGCCCTGGTTGCAAACGAACCCCGCTGAAGACCCACCGACACCCCGGGCAGAGGCTCGCCGGCGCAAGCCTCGGATCCGAGGCCGTGACTCGTCCACCTGGTCCAGCAAGGTGTTGGGCCCCCAGCGCAACGTGCCCGACACCTGGCGATCCCAAGCCGAGCCAGCGATTGCTCGCTCGGAAGGGTTTCGGCTTTTGGTCTTCTGGATCTGGTGAGCTTTACATTTGGAGGTGTTTGAAAATGGCGGACCCCCAGATGGGTTAAGAATTCAAGGGGTTGTTTTTTTGTTGCAGTTCGAGTGGCGGTGGCTTAGGATCCCAAGTTGCATGGGAGATGGTCCGCCCAACTTGTATTGGAGAAACCAACTGATGTTTCCATAGAACAAGTTCACGGTCTGGGTTCTTCTTTTTTAGCTCTGACCACTGTGGTCGATCATCTGATCTCCTCAGTTGGGATTGGAGTTGGAAAGGGAAAGTGGTTGAATCCAAAGAACTGCGGATGATCCAAGCTTTATGCGTTGCTGGTCCAAACAACTGTGGATCATTCAGCCGTTATCGCTGGGGGGGCTGATACGGGAAGGTTTTGAAGTGACACTGCGACCTGTTTGTTTGTTTCAACCTCCAACCTGTCTTTTGACACCCAAAGTTTACAACGTCACAAAAAGAGGCTTCGGGGCGTCAGAAGCAGAGCACCGGTTTCAAATTGTTTGCTGATTGATAAGGGAACCCCCAAACCCTTCAGTCGAAAACAAAAGGGATCTAAGGTGGTGTCCCTTCGGTTTCTCACCCTGCATCCACATGAGCAAAAACCAGATGTGTGCAGTCTCGAAATGTGTTGAAGACCCAAATTGGGTGGATTCCCTTTGGTTTCTTTTCAAAGTCACCCCAAAAAAGTGTCCTATAATCTAGGAAGAAGAAGAAGAAGAAGAAAAAAAAACGGGGAGCCACAAAATAGTTGATCCCATCACTTTCCAAAGGCGGTTTGTCTCTGGGGAGAGCTGGTCGTGTCAGCCCGGGATTGGCTGTAGAGGTGGCCTTGCGGAACCCTCTGATACTCAAAAATTCCGAGGCTGGACCCGAGAAGTGAAAGGGCAAATTCAGGTTGAAACGGCCCCGAAAACGACCCGCTGACCCATGCGACCCCCAACCTGCCTCTCCCCCGGGTCCCCGTTAGTTGGGCCTGGAAGTGGGTTTCATCCAGGTCCATGAAGTCCTCGGCCGCGCACACCTGGCACCTGAAGCAACTCGAGAAGGGGAGCGAGGGAGGGGAGGGGAAGGCCGGGGGAGGAAGCGGAGGGGAAGAAGGGACGAAGCACTAGGGGAAAAAAGTCGGTCTTTGGAGGCGGGTGTTCGGGGACTGCATGCAAACCAGCTGGTGTTTGCTGCCATTGGCCTGAAAGGCTGCATGTGTGGTTGTTGTATCACTTGGGACCCAGTATTCAGCCCCTCGTTGAATTGAGGGGGAACCCCATTTTGTAATTTGAGTGTCGGGGTTTCCGGCCGTTTTCCCGGCTCCCGCTTGAAGGCCCCTCAAAAGGGGCCAAAAGGACTGAAGCTGACTTCAACTGAATTCCACTTCGCCACTTCGCGACTCCGCACTCCAGGCGCATCTCTGAAGAAGAGCAGGTCATGTTTGAGGCTCCGTTCCCAAACTAAAGGAAAACCAACAGAACCACACCCGGGAAGAGCGGTTTGCTGGGGAGACCTTCCTTAACACACATCCATGTGACAAACCCCCCCCCACCCACCCACCCCCCACCCACCCACCCAACCACCCACCCACCCACCCACCCACCAAAGTCGACGACGCGAAAAACCAGGCGCCTCACCCGTTGGGAGGCCAGCACCAGCTCTCCCCCGCCCCGGGGGCACACGAACTCCGCCGCCCCGGGGCTGTAGCAGGTGGTCAGCATCTGAATGCCCCGGCAAAAGGACGGGGGAGAAAAAAAACGAACTCAGCTTCCCTCGTGCTGCTATCTTGGAGGGGTGTGGATCATTTGTTTCCCTCTACTAGAGGGAAATGCCATCCTGAATCGACCTCAGCTTCCCTCTTGGTGGTTTCGAGGGGTGTGTTTCTATTTACCGTCTGCAAGAACCGGTTTAATTCACCAATCCAAACCACCAAGTGCGGCTGAAGAATAGGAGGGAACATTGTATCATAGAACGAAGAAAAGGAAGCCCAGGAAATTCGATGAGACGCCAAAGACGGAAACCGAGACCAGCCCTCCAGTTGAGCAAAATCCAAGAGACATCCGTCCGCAAACAAGGCGAAAAGGGGTGCCACTGTTGCAAGAATTGAATTCAAAGGGGACACCTCCCAAAATCATCCCATGCAAAACACCGAGCATGAAGATGGTAGGGGCTGTACACAGACGAGCCATGTGTTAACCATCCTGCCAATGCCCATACGCTTGGGTTGCGTACGGCTTTTTCTCAACATGTTGCTGAACAAATACTGGTTGTATACTGCCAAATTCGCTCTTGGCCAGAAAAAGAAGCTGATGCCAAGTACAGGTTCCATCACAAGAGTCAATCTACCTTCCTCCCGATCCTGATCAAGCTGAAAGCTTTCGGGCTTGCATGTTGGGCTCAAAAAATCTGGGGGGTTCGCAGAAACCGCGTTTCCTGTTCCGCAAACCCGGCTGTTTCTGCGTGGCTTTGCCGGCCAGCGTGTTGGACCTCTCAGACGTGTCTAAGCCTGTCAGGTTCCTACTGGGCGAGACAGGCATGTTCTGTCCGGATCCTTTACGCCACAACTTAACATGGAACAAAAGGGTGGCTCCCAGAAGGAGACTCCGCTCAAAAGGATGGCAGACGGGGGCATGCCCTGAAAGCAGCCACGCCCCAAACACACTCGGCTGAGTTGGGCAATCCGCAAGATCCTCCCTTGGAAAGGAGGGTGCCTTCCCGAAAACTGACGGAGCATCAGATTGGCGTTCCCATCCATTGTGACCCCAAACCAGTTGCCAGCTGCCCAGCGAAACTCATTGGACGATTTTCCCAAGTTGATTCCATTGTTCATGCGGAACCCGGCAAAACAATCACAAGGGTGCCCACATAAAGGTTAAAGGTGCAAGATGCCACCAAGGGTGGCATCCCCCGAAAAAGTTGCCAAAGACGGAGAGCCAGCCACAGTTCTAGCTCACCCGCCAGCCTCGGCGTCGGATGTCGCATTGTCGGAGGTGCTGTTCTCGTCAATCTGAAGGCGAACGCTCATGCAGCAACCCAAAGAAAGAATCATCTTTAGCTGTGGCCGGGAACCAAACAAACGTATACCAAGGATGTGCTTTGTTTGTACATGTGTGTTTTTGCCTATGTATGTGTATATATATATATATGTACATATGTATGTTCATATATGATTCTATGCATGCGTGCAAACGTATTTGCGTGAAACGATTTAGGGCAAGCACAAGTTTTTAACTTGGTCGGTAGTCCAAGGTCTTGTCAGCTGGCGGGATCTTTGGCCTCCTCCCGAAAGGGCGTGGGGGGGTTCAAGATATGCTGCAAGGCCCAGGTTTGCACGTGACCAAATAACTTGCGGCGAATCCGCGCACTACCCTCCCTCAAGCATAGAAAATGGAAAGGGGGTCCCTAAAGTAGTACACCTAAAACGGATGGCCGTGGAGAATGTTTAGAACTCAACTGAAACCAGTGCCATATATGTTCTGTTCAATCAAAGCAAAAGCGCCCCCAGAAGCTGTCCCTTGCGCCATGGGCCGCCGGCCTGCAAGATATTCGCTTGAACAAGCCAATGACTTTTATGACCTGTTCTAAAACAGAAGAGGTGCTCCCTGGGATGTAGTTTTAAAACACAGTGTTTTGTAGTATCTTTCATGTTAAAATCACATCCCAAACAACACCCGGTCTCTTCTAAAATGGGGAAGCCCCATTTTGACAGGCATCGAACCCGAAGCCACGAAGAAAGTCGAATCCCAAACTTTTTGAGGGTCCGATTCCTCTGTTTTGGGACAAAAACTATGAGGCCCCCACTTGACTGGTGGTCGCCCCGTTCATCCGAAACATCTATGCGATTCATCCCAGCCCGGCTTTCCATCAGAACGTGTCCCGTGCCTGCATGTCCATTTCGGACATTCGAAAGTGGCAGGTAAATGTATTTCCTGATCCCAACAACTTGAGGTTGCGGGAACCTCAAACATGGGGTTTGGTTTCCATTTGGCGTGCCTTGAACACATCACCAACCGAAAAGGGACCAACTCAAAAGAAGCAAACCCACTTGGACTCCTTCTGGGTTTTACTGGCCCGGGTGCGTGGACCCGCAATGGGCGGGTCGTATGGGGACTGCTTGCTTTGTTCGAGCGTATGCGTGCAGGGAAGTGTGACTGGCTTGAATTCAGCAACGGATAAACGCAACGCATAGTCGGAGCGTGGGGAGGGACAAGAGAGGGTAGTGAAATTCCCCACCCAGGATCTTCCGGGCGCTTCAAGGACTCCTTTGAAAGGAGCTGCAAAGGCCGCAAATGGCTGGTGGGTTCTGATGAACCCCATCGCTCTTTCCCACAAACCCCCACAGCCCAACCCGCCCTTACCACGCTTCCCACACACCCTCTACGGTACTGTTGATAGCACAGTGTTTGGTGAATTAATAGGTAGGCGCCTTGACCCCGAGTCCCAAAATCGGTTCACCTCCCTACTCATCCACCGGTTCTGCTTAAGTTGGGTTCCCCTCCGGACCCCGTCCAACCCACTCACCCCTTCCAGCCAAACCACCGAAACAAACTCCTGTGATTCTGAAGGCCAGGGTCTGGTTGCGAATTTTGCAACCCCAAGATCTGGGACCCACCTCCCAAAGCAAACGAGAAGCTTCTGTTTCAAGTTTGGTGCCCAAGACTTGCAAGCCCGTCCCCCCCCCCCCGTCCCCATTTTCCGCCAACACACCCTGCCCAACCAAAAACGGTTCCATTCCCCCCCCAAAAAAAAAGACACAAAACAAAACATGCCCCCCCCCCCCCAATCCCCCATCGACTCCTCCCCCAACCAACCCCCTTTCCCGCGCCCCGGCGCGCCTCCAGGATGTCCGCGGAGCAGTTCTGCTGCTCCGCCAGCTCCGCGCAGCTCGGCGCCACGTCCACCGCCACCCCGGCGAAGCCCACGCACTGCGGCTGCGTGGAGCTGGTGCCTCGGGGCCCGAAACCCGACCCGAAACCCGAGCCGAAACCCGGCGACGCCCGACAGTTGAAGATGGTGGTCTGGCTGGTCGGTAAGAAAACAAGAAGGCCTAAAATTTGGGCCAATTGTCCACAACCAGGAAGGGAGGAGGAGGAAGGGAGGATGGGAGGATGGGAGGAAGGGAGGATGGGAGGATGAGAGCTTGAGGGTGTGGGAGTTTGGGAGTTTGGGAGTTGGGCCTGTTTTCGCTTGAGGCTTGGGGTTTGGGGTTTGGGATTTGAGATTGGACAAGCCAAGCTGGCGCGGAGCTGGCAGGTTGCGCCCAACAGCATCTGGAGTTGGACAGCATTTGGAGCCCTTGGGTTTCAACCCTATCTCAAAATTCGATGACATCTCCTCTTGAGGGATCCTCGAATCCTCAGAATGGAGCGGAATCACATGATGTTCCATGTGCTCAATGAATAGTGCAAAGCACACATTGTTTGTTTACTGGACTGGGTTTCATCCTTCTTTTTATCAGAGAGGGAGCGCCTCGTTTTCTTTCTATCGTTTGCAACCGCCAGAGTGCCTTAGTGACCTTAGTGCTGCAAGCACAAGGGTCGGTGGTCCTTCCCTTTGCCTGCAGAAGAGCGTCATCATGAAAACTGGACCTCTGTCAGTGACAAAAATCTCAAATGGGTGTTCCTTTCTTCGATCGGAGAACCCTTTCTTGGCTAGTTGTGGATCTTTCCGGCTGCTCAGCCGAGTGGGAACGTGGAGCAAGCTTGGGACCCTCCAAATAGTGGAAATGACTCTTTAGGCAAAAGACCAAGGCTGGCCCGCCGGGGTCTACCTTCTGCCAAGCTCACATCAAGAGAAAATGAGTGCGAGTGAAGTGACCTACACAACTGGTTCTTTTTAAGCTTGAGGATCTCAAAGAAAGACAGTCACTAATCCAGCAACCTTGTTCTCTGCAAGACCGTCCCAACCACCTTGCCAACCTATCCGGTGTCCCTTCGTTTCCCCTGTCAGAACTCCACGCCACGCCGCTGGTGGAGCTGAAGGTGGTGCTGCTGGTGAGGCTCGAGGTGGAGCTGCTGCTGATCGTCAAAGTGGTGCTCGTGCCGCTCTTCGTGGTGCCTTGAGCCAAGCGAAGAGCCAAGCCAACCCCAGAAATGTACCAGGTTCGTGGAATCCCCACAATGAGAACTGAAATTCTGGGTCCTGTCGCATAATGTTGAAACGAGCTCCTGATTCCCTTTCAAACGGAACTCAGCTAGCAGTGAAACGAGGAATTCTGGTGCAGTGTGTGAAGGACATGTCCGGACACGGCATAAACCGATACCCAAATTGGTGAGCCCAATGTCCCCTCCACATGCCCAAAGGAGAGAAGAGGCAAGTGTCCCAAACACCCAACAATTAGTGCGGCGTTTCCCTTTAAAACCATCCCAAGTCAAAGAATCGCACGGAACCCTTCAGTTGAAACAACCGTCTTTGAAAGCATGCCTGCCGCACGTGTCTAGTCTCACAGTGGAGAATGATAAAGGTAGAGGCGCAACAGTGTCACTATAAGATTCCGTGAATGCAGGCAGTACTGGTTGTAAACTTGTCACTGCCTTTCATTTGATCTCGTCCTGCATTGTCTGTTGTGTCTTCATAAGTGTTGGGCTGCAACTTCAGCCACTGTAAGCCGTTGCTATTCATGAACATGCAATGTTCTCATCAAAGAAAGGCTCCGCTTTAGCTAATATCTGATGATGTTCCTTGCTGAATGACGGTGGGTACCTGGCTGTGCAGCAAGGGTCTAGTTGTGGCCAAGCCCGTCTGCTCATGGCATGTTGAATTTTTGGTCAATTGGCTATTCAAAGTGGATAGGCAACAAAGTTGTGGGTGGCAAAGGAGTGCAAGAACGGAACACTCTGCTTCCATCCAGTGAAAACCGTCAAGCCCGCACCTCGTGGCCACTTGAAACACTGGAAGGGGGCCGGTCTAATCTAGGTCCTACGATGGGATGCCAAAGCTCGTAGCTGATGCCATCATGTCCGGAGCAGTAGCAACTATGACTCGGAAGGTTCACCCATCTCCAAGAGCGTCATATGTATTTAATTATATATATACACATATCATCAGGGATATGACAATGAAGGTTGTTAACAATGATGTCTGGTTCGAGCAAGGAGAGGCCTTGAGCCCTCATGTCCCCCGATTTGTCAAACAGGAGCCGACTACGAAACTCAGACAACCCACTCGCTCTCACCCCTTTTGCACTCCAAAACACAAAGGCTCCACTCAAGATGGATGCTAATACCCATGTGTTCATACACAGCACTGCAAAGTAAGAGCGGAACGATCCATTCCCAAAAAAACAAGTCTCAATTATGGAGGGTGTTTGTTACATTGTGTCTTCATTTGCAGAGCAGTATCTCTTTGCTCCCGTTGTTGCACACCATCAGACAAACGGGGCCTTAATCTTATGGCACCCTCCCAAAGGTGCGCACTGCAATTTCTGGAACCATGACTTCCGGAAAAACTTCCATGCTAAAGGGAACCCTTAGCATGAAATCCCCGGACTCATAAATTACCGCCTGGGCCATGTGCCGCCCAAACCGGGTGACGACAAAAGTCGCTTGCGAGCAAGTGGCTTGTGCTGGTGGTGGTGCTGGTGAGGCTCTTGGAAGTAGTGCCTCGAATGGCCCAACCGCATGCTTTTTCAGAAAGGAAAGGAGGTCAGTTGCAGCAAAAAGGGATCAAAGGACAAGAAAGCGTGAAGAGGTCAGAGACATGCCGCCACCAAGGGCAAAACTGAAAAGCAACCTCCCATCTAAGATGTCAATATGCGGTGGACATGATGGGATGTTTCGGGTGGCTGTTGTGACGCTGGACTCGGAACGTCTCACGCCGAACATCCAATGGTAAAAATCCAGAGACAGGGGTAAAACGATAATCCTACTGGGAGTCATGCTCACTGGCTGTCGCTGGAATATGAGGAGCGGACTGTTTGGAGTTTAACTACACTCGGCCACCCCGTGCTATTAAGTTCAAAGCAATAATTTATTTGCGTTGGCCTGTTTGAGCAGTGAAGAAGCCGTTGGTTTCCTTTCCACTCGTTAAGTTAAAACGGTAGTTACGAAGATCAACTTGTTCTTCAATGACGCTTCCTAGTTGCTAGTTCAAATAGGACGTGCACACAGGTACATTTGAGCGCATAGCTTGATCAGTAGCTCCATGAGAGGCTCTCATTTGCATTTAGGGTTTTTGCCCCTTCACAAGCCGTTGCACAGCATATTTGTTCCAAGTTCGGTGCACATCTCTGACGGCTGTTCCAAACAGGTTGATGTGTTTCCTTTTTGGATCGCTTTTGTGCCATTTAAGAAGGAAACAGCTCGTGCATGTTGGGGTCCCAATCCAGCACTGGTTCTTTTTTGGACGAAACGAAGGGGTCGGTTTACCCCTAATTGTTTTGGCGCTTGGGTGACAAAGGTCGACCCCTCCATATATTTTCCTCCATCGAATGGAAAAAAGACCAGGGCGTCAACGGCTGTCTGGGGAATGCCAAATTGGGATCGACAAAGCCTTGATCCTTTGGGCTTGCGTACACCAGTACAGAGTGTGTAAGAGATGCGTGCTGGCCCATTTGAAGGAGCAGTCAAACTTCTCTAGGTCATTTCCATGTGAGTGGCCGTACCCCATTTTGAGGGCACCCCTATTTTGACACATGCCCAAATGGGAATCCGACTGAAGGCTCCATAAATAAGCGAACCCCAAGTAGGCGCCCAGGCTGGAACTGGAGCTGCTGGAGGTAGTGCTGGTCCTGCGAGGTGCTTGGGGCGAGAAGCTTGGAATCCCAAAATAAAACCAACCTGAAACCCAGCCACAAACCCACCTTAAATTCACCCAAAATCCACTCTTATCCAGCCCAAAACGTCAGGGTTCTACAAAACTGGAGTCAAAACAACCAGGCCACGGCCCCCCTTCAAAGAAGACGTAAATGCTCCGTGACCCCTTTGAAGGAAAATATGCATGCCTGGACAGGGCTTCGTGTGTGGTGTCGAGGACAACGTGGCTCGCAAACGAAATGACTGCTTAAAATACAATGTTCCGCCTGGAGGGGAATTTCCGTACTAGAAGGGAGGCGTATTGATTATTAGGGAAGCAATTGTACAATACCAAACTGGTCCACAAATGTTCCTACTGCGTTGTGAGCGTGTGTGTCTAGGCACCTTGTGCGTTCTAACTTCTAGCGTATTGCTTGTGCGCGAGTGTTTGCGTGCAATGTATCCATGCGAGGGATTGAGTTCTATCCTTTTCCGGGTCCCCAGAAAAGGCTCTGGAACAGGCAAAGTTGTGTCCTAAAACGGCGGTCTGATCCTAAAAAATGGCCCCAAACTATGCTCACAGCCCGACGGGGGGCACGCGCAAGCACAGCACAAAGGCAGCTGAAGGCTACCGACTCTCAAACGCATAGCCCGGCAAGGGTCCTATTCGTCACTGCACATGAACAAAATCCTCCGCCCCGATCTTGGCTGCCCTTGAAACCAAATGGGACCAACTCGGCTGAATGAGTCTCTTTTGGGGTGATGTGGGTCTGTCTCCAGAAAGAAAGGGAGACCCCTGGTGGCATAATTTTGACCCATACCCACATATGTTTGGAATCCTTTGTGCTGTCAAACTGAGCATCGCAGCTGTTGGCTGCACCCCAGCAGCTGTCGAATACTGGAATCTACACATAAACAAAGCCCGAGAAACCCATCCACGGAGTTTCCTTTTGGCCTCCCTTTTTGGGATCTATACTAAGTTCATCAGGTTGCAAAGTAGTAAGGGGTTGATGACTGCTACGAGTTTGGTTTTAGCTTTGACTGACAAAATCACATGCGAATGCATATCTACTTTAGGAATGTTGTTGAAGGGCAGTTCTAGATGCTCCTGTCAACATAATCCTTGGCAACAACCACTCACCTGCCATGGTCAAGACTCCTTGTCGAGCCATGGATTCTGAGGATGGCGGCCACAATCCGTATTTAAGTGTTGACGACTGGTGGTGATTTGACCATACATCTGGCAAAAGCAACTGCCGAAACTGCTTCACATCAGGTTGTTTGTTTCCATGTTTGGGGGCTGTGTTTTCTTTGGGGAGGGGGTCACGACACGCCCGCCGTCCATTTTCGAGCGTTTGCTCACCCTGAAAAGACACCCGTACCTTAACCTTCGACATGTGTTGCTTGTCTACGATTTTCCGCCAGCAACGGCGAAAGGGGTCAAAACATGCCGTGGGGCGACCGGTTTTGAGGCAGCTTCCTACCGAATGTCAGGCAGCTAGGAAGGGATGCTTGTTTGTGTTGGGGTGTTTCCACTTCCAAGGCTGGTAAACGGAAATCAAAACACAACGGTTCGCGCCCCTTTGCACAGATTGCACAGATGCCTGTTCTGACAAACTTCAAATTCTACCAAAACCAGCCAAAACTTAACATACATCTGAAAGACGTCCTTCCCCTGTTGTTTTTTTTCCCCGATCACTTGCTCTGCGGTTTTGCCCGGCACATGTTCGGTTCGGCTTCCGGAAGGCCCTTTGGATCCCGCCCGGCGAAACCTGGTGGTAGTGCTGGAGGAGCTGCTGGAGCTGCTGGAGGTGGTAGAAGTGCTGGAGCTCACCGTGCTCGAAGTCTCGCGCGGGAACGCTCAAGACCCTTTGGTTGCCAGTTTCCTTCAACCCCACTCACCCTCAAACGGGTATTAAAAAGGTCTACAGTACCCCAAACCCCAAAACACAGAGTAAAGAATCTTGACGGGATGGCTGGGACTATCCCCAACCTTTATCCACCCGGGTTTTGACAGTCGGGATTCCCCAGGCTGTTCATTTCCACGTTGGTTTATTTTCTTTCTTTTCTGTTTTCATTGTTGCGCCGGAGCGGAAGGAGAGCCAAGGGCTTGCCAGCTTCGTGCCATCAAAAAAGCACCCCCCCGCAACACCTTGCGGCGCTTGCGAACCCAGAGCGAAGTGCTCTTTCCGGATCCTTCAGAAGTCGGTTCTAGCAAAACTGCTTTCATCCATGTGGCTTAATTGGCCAGCGCCTTTGACTCACCCTCTTCATTGTGAGAACCCTTCTCTCATGCATAAATATATATATATATATATGTACACATATGTACACGCATATGTATATGTATATTTCAAATGAGTGGTTGTAGTTCTATATTATGCATGTATTCTTGGCTATGTAGTTTTTGGGTTGTAACAGCCTGGAAATTGCTGGGACATGAATCCCTATGCGACCGATTTCCACCGCAAGGGATCCCTGCTCTCACCTACTGTTGGCTGATCTCTTTGCAAGGCAGCAGCGACAAGGCAAAGGACATGCCACCGAAAATGAGGGTGCCCGACTACTGGTTGGCTTTCGCTTGTCTTTCCTTGAACACCTATCCACAAGACGGCCGCCGTTTTGAGACACGCGCATGATAAAACCTTCTACCAAACTACTCATGTCTGCCCGAAGTCAGAATGGTCCCAATCAGCCTGCATGGTCATAACTGAATTAACTCATGTGCCTGACTCATGGACAAGTCCAGCAATAGCGATAGCCATGCGCCTGGGTGTGTAGCGGGCCGGGGCGATTCTGGGAGGGGGGAACCCGGGAAGTTTCGAGGTGTTAGAGAAGCTCGGGTGAATGAGTCGTGTCTAATGTTGGGATTAGTCCTTGGATTTACGTTGCTGGACACGCGTTGCCTTCCCAGACCGCCAATGTCCCGAGCCGAATGCCAAGCGACTGTCGTCCAAGTAGTCGAGCTGGTGCTGCTGCTGGTGCCTCGTAGCGGCCAAAACGGGGTGGGAGACGTTGGCACTGCATCAGGCATGTGGCTTTTGAGTGTTGCCATCGCGTTCACGCTGGTGTGAGGGCTTCTCCTTCTGCGGTGCGCTCGCTGGTGCGAATGCTGATGCTCACTCGATGCAGTGGAGAGTGGGGAAAAATCATGCAAAACCGCGACACAAAGCCACAGGTGACGCCTATGGAAAGCTGTTGTTTGATGAGGAGTACAAGTAGAGGAGACAATCCAAAAACGAATGATTTCGATCGCTTTCACAATCTTAGCATAGTTGTAGTTGTTGATCTTGCCCAAAAATCATTTGGCTTAGTCTACTCGGGTCCGTGGACACGGACGAAATGAACTTGATCCCATCTGACGGTGCCTTCAAAAAGAGCATGATCTTCTAAATACCCTCCCACAGGCGCTACGTTAGCGGGATGATACGTATGTCACTTAATAGGCACACGTGGTCCGACACTGCTTAACGTAAACACCAGCAGCCACAGCGTCAGCAACAGCCCGCTGAATGAAAGGGAAAACAGGGCAAAGGGACGATCTCTGGACATGCTGCTGCGAATAAACATGGAACCCACAACAAGGGTCCTCCAAAACAAGCCTCAGCCAATCTGCAGGAGAGTGAGCCTGAAGCTGTCAATCCCTCAAAGAAGAAGCAAGTGTGGGCAAAACACGCCAAACATGCTTGCTTTGGTTTAAAGGGAGGCCCAAAGGAAACCACCCATTTTGGGGTTTCCCTATTTTGAGACCAACTGTTCTTACATCCAGCGTGTCAATTCACTTCAGCGCCGTGAGAAAAAACCCAGGGCGGACTTTCTCAAGTTGGCGAAGCTCTCAACCGGGGATAGTGGAGCCACAAGACTGAATGATCGGGTCTTCCTTGACGAATGGCAAAAGAAGGATACCCTCGAAATCAATGTCGAGTTCCATGTCTTAAAGCCTGTTTGATTTGACATGCATGGCAATCAAGGCTTAAGCAGCCGCGCAAAGTGGCACGCATGTAAAGAAAGCCACACGTCCAACTTAGGCCACACCAGTTCATCCATGAGCCTCAGTCAACAGAGGCGGTTGCTGCAAAGAACATGAGAATGAGAAGGGATAGTGAGTTTTTGTTCGGTGTTCCGTTGAAATTAGACGAAACCCCCTATGTCCGTGCACCTGTTTCGGATTGGTTTAAGTGGATTTCAAAGGGAGACCACCATTTGTTCGGGGGTTCATGTAATCTAAATCAGGAAACCGGCCATTCTCCTTTTGGTTCATTGACCTTCAGACTTTTGGCGTGTGATTCACAATGTGAAAGTCACCTTCAATCACTCGGGCGTCAGTCACAGTGCGAAAGTCAGCTTCAATTGTTGAAGATGTTTCCGGCAATGCGAAAGTCCCCTTCAAACTTTCGGGTGTCAATCACACAATGTGAAAACCACGTCCAAACTTTCCCGGAGTTATTCATATGTGAAAACAACCTTCATTTGTTGTCCTTCAAACTGTCTTTTCTTTATGTGGCAGGGTAGGGCCGACAAAAGCTGTGGAATGTTAACCCTCTGGGGGGATCCGTGGATGCAACTTATGATTCGGTGTGATGAACTGCGCGGTGAACCGATCGCCGTGGTCGATGTGCAAAACCTGCGGACTTTTGCAACTTGGGCGCGGTAAACCCGCGGGATCGGTGGTGTGGCAACTCGAGACTTTTGCAACGGGGATCGTGCGTGTCGAAGTGCTATCGCTGCGCCGTGCGAAGCGCGAATGTGCAAAGAGCCTCGCAAAGTGCACCTGTTAAGTACGAAAGTAGTAAACGAAGTGTACTTCTCCAGCTACGCGAAGTGCGTTTGCAGCTGGAGATGGAAAATTGCAACTCGCAGATTGAAAGCAGCGAGCGAGGTACATGTTCACAGCTTGTGCTCGAAAATCGCAGCTTGTAAGAGCACAAACAGTTTGCCAAGCAAATGAGCATAGAAGCTGACGCGGAGAAACTTGCATAAACAGCACTGCGCAAAAGACCTTGCACAACGCAGCTTGCGCAGGGGCACTAGCACAGCACAGCTTGCGCGCAAACACGTCGACAGCAAGACGCAGAAAGACTTGTGCACGGAAGCCTGCACACAAACGCGCGCAAGCGCCAGAGACACTCGCACAAGCACAAACTTTCAGGAGAAAAATAAAGACCTGCGGGGGGGAAGAAAAAAAAACACCGAGCCGTGAAGCTTCCGAAACGTGAACCGTGAGCCGTGAAGCTTTCGGCCGCACGTGAAAAACCGTCCGAGGCGCGAGAGGTGGTGCTCGAGGAGCTGCTGGAGCTCCTCGGTCAGCCCATGGCGCTTTCTCAAACAGGGGGGCCCAACATGGAGACGGTAATGCCAAAAAGAAGCTCGGTAAAAGAAACCTTATTTGGAGAGTTGGTTCGTGTCTGTATTCTGGGGGGGCCGAAATGGACATCAAAGCTCGGGAACAAAAAAGGTGAAGCAACCAATTTGAAGGTTCCCCCATTTAGCTTCACAGCCAAGTATGGAATCCTACTTTTCCCCTGCAAATTGACATGAAGCCCGAAAAAAAGGACATCACACAAAGCCGCAACGTCCCAGATCGAACTTCCGCATGAAAAATGACTGCAAGGTGTGACCCCGTGCAGCCAAAGCTCGTAGTTGAGGACGTGGTGCTGCTTGTGCTGGTGGATGTAGTGGAGCTGCTGGTGGTTGATGTCGAGCTAGACGAACTTGAGCTGCTCGTGCTGCTGGTGCTAGTTGTGCTTGTACTGCTTGTGCTGCTCGTGCTTGTAGTCGAGCTTGAAGAGCTGGTGGATGTAGTGGAGCTGCTACTGGTTGATGTCGAGCTAGACGAACTTGAGCTGCTCGTGCTGCTGGTGGTAGTTGTGCTTGTACTGCTTGTGCTGCTGGTGCTTGTAGTCGAGCTTGACGAGCTGGTCGATGTAGTGGAGCTGCTGGTGGTTGATGTCGAGCTAGAGGAACTTGAGCTGCTCGTGCTGCTGGTGCTAGTTGTGCTTGTACTGCTTGTGCTGCTAGTGCTTGTAGTCGAGCTTGACGAGCTGGTGGATGTAGTGGAGCTGCTGGTGGTTGATGTCGAGCTAGACGAACTTGAGCTGCTCGTGCTGCTGGTGCTAGTTGTGCTTGTACTGCTTGTGCTGCTAGTGCTTGTAGTCGAGCTTGACGAGCTGGTGGATGTAGTGGAGCTGCTGGTGGTTGATGTCGAGCTAGACGAACTTGAGCTGCTCGTGCTGCTTGTGGTAGTTGTGCTTGTACTGCTTGTGCTGCTGGTGCTTGTAGTCGAGCTTGACGAGCTGGTGGATGTAGTGGAGCTGCTGGTAGTTGATGTCGAGCTAGACGAACTTGAGCTGCTGGTGGTAGATGTGCTTGTACTGCTTGTAGTGCTGGTGCTTGTAGTTGAGCTTGACGAGCTGGTGGATGTAGTTGAGCTGCTGGTGGTTGATGTCGAGCTAGACGAACTTGAGCTGCTCGTGGTGCTGGTGGTAGTTGTGCTGGTACTGCTTGTGCTGCTAGTGCTTGTAGTCGAGCTTGACGAGCTGGTGGATGTAGTGGAGCTGCTGGTGGTTGATGTCGAGCTAGACGAACTTGAGCTGCTCGTGCTGCTGGTGGTAGTTGTGCTTGTACTGCTTGTGCTGCTGGTGCTTGTAGTCGAGCTTGACGAGCTGGTGGATGTGGTGGAGCTGCTACTGGTTGATGTCGAGCTAGACGAACTTGAGCTGCTCGTGGTGCTTGTACTGCTAGTACTGGTACTGGTTGTGCTGCTTGTGCTGGAAGTTGTGCTCGACGAGCTGGTGGATGTGGTGGAGCTGCTACTGGTTGATGTCGAGCTGGATGAACTGGTGCTGCTTGTCGTGCTTGTACTGCTAGTACTGGTACTTGTCGTGCTGCTGGTGCTGGAACTTGTGCTTGAGGAGCTGGTGGATGTAGTGGAGCTGCTACTGGTTGATGTCGAGCTGGATGAACTGGTGCTGCTTGTGGTGCTTGTACTGGTAGTACTGGTACTGGTTGTGCTGCTGGTGCTGGAAGTTGTGCTTGACGAGCTGGTGGATGTAGTGGAGCTGCTACTGGTTGATGTCGAGCTGGATGAACTGGTGCTGCTGGTGGTGCTTGTACTGCTAGTACTCGTACTGGTCGTGCTGCTGGTGCTGGAAGTTGTGCTTGATGAGCTGGTGGATGTAGTGGAGCTGCTGCTGGTTGATGTCGAGCTGGATGAACTGGTGCTGCTTGTGGTGCTTGTACTGCTAGTACTGGTACTGGTCGTGCTGCTGGTGCTGGATGTTGTGCTTGACGAGCTGGTGGATGTACTGGAGCTGCTACTGGTTGATGTGGTGCTGGATGAACTGGTGCTGCTTGTGGTGCTAGTGGTAGTGGTGCTTGTACTGCTAGTGCTGGTACTGGTTGTGGTGCTAGTACTGGTGCTTGTAGTGCTCGTGCTTGTTGTAGAGCTGCTGCTGGTGCTTGTGCTTGATGTGCTGCTGGAAGTTGTGGAACTGCTGGTAGATGTCGTGGAGCTGCTGCTGGTCGTTGTGGAAGTTGACGAGCTGGTGGTGCTTGTGCTGCTTGTGCTGCTGGAGCTTGTGCTGCTTGTGCTGGTAGTCGTGCTGCTGCTGGTACTGGTGGTGCTAGTGCTGCTAGATGTCGTTGTGGAGCTGCTAGTTGAAGATGAGCTGGATGACGAGGTGGAGCTCGAAGTGGAAGTGGAGGACGAAGTGCTGCTTGTGGAAGTCGAGGTTGATGAGCTCGTGCTGGTTGTGCTGCTGCTGCTCGACGTTGTACTCGAGCTGCTTGTTGATGTGGACGTTGTGGAGCTGCTGCTGGTGGTGCTTGTTGATGTTGATGTGGTTGAGGAAGTAGTGGTTGATGAGGACGAGCTCGTGCTCGTGGATGTGGAACTAGTGGTGCTGCTTGTACTGGAGCTGCTGGATGTTGTTGTTGAGGAAGAGCTTGAAGACGATGAGGAAGTACTTGACGACGAAGTTGTAAAGGTGACCATTGTCTGGCTTGTGCTCGTACTAGTGCTGCTGCTGGTGCTGGAACTTGTGCTTGACGAGCTAGTCGATGTAGTGGAGCTGCTACTGGTTGATGTCGAGCTGGATGAACTGGTGCTGCTTGTGGTGCTTGTACTGCTAGTACTGGTACTGGTCGTGCTGCTGGTGCTGGAAGTTGTGCTTGAGGAGCTGGTGGATGTAGTGGAGCTGCTACTGGTTGATGTCGAGCTGGATGAACTGGTGCTGCTTGTGGTGCTTGTACTGCTAGTACTGGTACTGGTCGTGCTGCTGGTGCTGGAAGTTGTGCTTGACGAGCTGGTGGATGTAGTAGAGCTGCTGGTCGTTGATGTCGAGCTAGACGAACTTGTGCTGCTCGTGGTGCTGGTGGTAGATGTGCTTGTACTACTTGTCCTGCTGGTGCTTGTAGTCGAGCTTGAAGAGCTGGTGGATGTAGTGGAGCTGCTACTGGTTGATGTCGAGCTGGATGAACTGGTGCTGCTTGTGGTACTGCTGGTGCTGGAAGTTGTGCTTGACGAGCTGGTGGATGTAGTGGAGCTGCTGCTGGTTGATGACGAGCTGGATGAACTGGTGCTGCTTGTGGTGCTTGTACTGCTAGTACTGGTAGTGCTCGTGCTGCTGGTGCTGGAAGTTGTGCTTGACGAGCTGGTGGATGTAGTGGAGCTGCTACTGGTTGATGTCGAGCTGGATGAACTGGTGCTGCTTGTGGTGCTGGTACTGCTAGTACTGGTACTGGTCGTGCTGCTGGTGCTGGAAGTTGTGCTTGACGAGCTGGTGGATGTAGTGGAGCTGCTACTGGTTGATGTCGAGCTGGATGAACTGGTGCTGCGTGTGGTGCTGGAAGCAGTCGTGCTGCTGGTGCTGGAAGTTGTGCTTGACGAGCTAGTTGATGTAGTGGAGCTGCTGCTGGTTGATGTGGTGCTTGTGCTGCTTGTGCTGCTAGTACTGGTAGTGCTCGTGCTGCTGGTGCTGGAAGTTGTGCTTGACGAGCTGGTGGATGTAGTGGAGCTGCTACTGGTTGATTCGAGCTGTGGTGCTGCTTGTGGTGCTTGTACTGCTAGTACTGGTACTGGTCGTGCTGCTGGTGCTGGAAGTTGTGCTTGACGAGCTGGTGGATGTACTGGAGCTGCTACTGGTTGATGTGGTGCTGCTTGTGGTGCTTGTACTGCTAGTACTGGTACTGGTCGTGCTGCTGGTGCTGGAAGTTGTGCTTGACGAGCTGGTGGATGTACTGGAGCTGCTACTGGTTGATGTGGTGCTGCTTGTGATGCTTGTACTGCTAGTACTGGTACTGGTTGTGCTGCTGGTGCTGGAAGTTGTGCTTGATGAGGTGCTGGATGTAGTGGAGCTGCTACTGGTTGATGTGGTGCTGCTTGTGATGCTTGTACTGCTAGTACTGGTACTTGTTGTGGTGCTGGTGCTGGAAGTTGTGCTTGATGTGGTGGTAGAGGTTGCAGAAGTACTGCTGTCCGTCGATGTCGTGGATGTGCTTGTACTGCTGCTTGTGCTACTGCTGCTTGTGCTACTGCTGCTTGTGCTACTGCTGCTTGTGCTACTGGTTGTTGTTGAAGTGCTCGATGTCGTGGTTGTAGTTGAAGAAATGCTGGATGTGCTGCTACCGGTCTTTGAAGTGGTGCTTGATGAACTTGTGGTTGTACTCGTGCTTGAGGATGTCAGGCTTGTGGAAGTGCCAGAGGTTGTTGTTGCAGACGTTGAGCTTGAGGTGCTGCTGCTGCTTGTAGTGCTTGTGGTGGTTGAACTTGTAGTACTAGTACTGGTGCTAGTTGTGCTGGTGGTGCTGGAACTTGTGCTTGACGAGCTAGTCGATGTAGTGGAGCTGCTACTGGTTGATGTCGAGCTGGACGAACTTGAGCTGCTCGTTGTGCTTGTACTGCTAGTACTGGTACTGCTTGTGCTGCTGGTGCTGGAAGTTGTGCTTGATGAGCTAGTGGATGTACTGGAGCTGCTACTGGTTGATGTCGAGCTGGATGAACTGGTGCTGCTTGTGGTGCTTGTACTGCTAGTACTGGTACTGGTCGTGCTGCTGGTGCTGGAAGTTGTGCTTGACGAGCTGGTGGATGTAGTGGAGCTGCTACTGGTTGATGTCGAGCTAGATGAACTGGTGCTGCTTGTGGTGCTAGTACTGCTGGTACTGGTACTGGTTGTGCTGCTGGTGCTGGAAGTTGTGCTTGACGAGCTGGTGGATGTTGTGGAGCTGCTACTGGTTGATGTCGAGCTGGATGAACTGGTGCTGCTTGTGGTGCTGGTAGTGCTCGTGCTGCTGGTGCTGGAAGTTGTGCTTGACAAGCTGGTGGATGTAGTGGAGCTGCTGCTGGTTGATGTCGAGCTGGATGAACTGGTGCTGCTTGTGGTGCCGGTACTGCTAGTACTGGTGCTGCTTGTGCTGCTGGTGCTGGAAGTTGTGCTTGAGGAGCTGGTGGATGTAGTGGAGCTGCTGCTGCTTGATGTCAAGCTGGATGAACTAGTGCTGCTTGTGGTCCTGGTACTGCTAGTACTGGTACTGCTTGTGCTGCTGGTGCTGGAAGTTGTGCTTGACGAGCTGGTGGATGTAGTGGAGCTGCTTGTGGTTGATGTCGAGCTGGATGACGTGGTGCTGCTTGTGGTGCTTGTACTGCTAGTACTGGTACTGCTTGTGCTGCTGGTGCTGGAAATTGTGCTTGACGAGCTCGTGGATGTAGTGGAGCTGCTACTGGTTGATGTCAAGCTGGATGAACTGATGCTACTTGTGGTGCTGGTGCTGCTGGTCCTGGTACTGCTAGTACTGGTACTGCTTGTGCTGCTGGTGCTTGTAGTCGAGCTTGACGAGGTAGTGGACGAAGTGGAGCTGCGGCTGCTTGATGTCGAGCTGGACGAGCTTGTGCTGCTGGTGCTGGTAGTGCTGGTCGTTCTAGTGTGGCTTGTGCTGCTGGAACTGGTGCTGGTGCTTGATGTGCTGCTGTATGTTGTGGAGGTACTGGTGCTTGATGTGGTGGTGTGTGTGGTGCTTGAACTGCTGGAGCTCGTAGTGCTTGTGCTGGTTTTGCTTGTGCTGCTGGTACTTGTAGAACTGCTGGAAGTGCTGCTCGATGATGTGGAAGTACTGCTCGTTGATGTGCTGCTTGAAGAGGTGGTACTGCTGGTTGTGCTAGTGCTGCTGGTGCTGGTTGTAGAGGTTGTTGTGCTGCTTGTACTTGTTGTACTTGAACTTGTTGTACTCGTAGCTGTTGCAGTTGTGCTTGTGCTGCTTGTAGAGGAAGATGAGGAGCTGGTACTGGAGCTACTGGTTGCTGTAGTGCTTGTGGTGGTGGTGATTGTGAAAGTTGTGCTCGTGGTGCTTGTGCTTGTCGCGGAACTACTCGAAGAAGACGTTGATGTTTGACTTGAGCTGGTGGAGGTGTCGGTTGTGGTGCTTGTCGTAGTCACTGTCGTCGCCGTCATGCTGGTGGTAGTTCCATTGACAATGCTAGTGGTGCTGCTGGTGGTTGAGGTAAGAGTGACGCTACTTGAGGTGGATGTGGTTCTCGTAATTGTTGAGGATGATGTGCTGCTGCTCGTTGAAGACGTGGTGGACGATGATGTGGTGGTGGTACTTGTGCTAGTGCTAGTTGTCGACGAACTCGTAGTGCTACTGCTTGATGTGGAGGTCGAACTTGTGCTGGTAGCTGTTGTGCTTGTGCTACTTGTGCTGGTGCTTGTGGTGCTTGTGAACGTAGTGCTAGACGACGAACTGGTTGTGCTGCTTGTTGATGTTGATGTGGAACTGCTGGTGGTTCCAGTTGTGCTGCTGCTAGTGGTGCTTGTGCTGCTTGTAGATGTCGAGGAGGTGCTTGAGGTTGTTGAAGTGGTTGTCGAGCTGCTTGTACTGCTTGTAGATGTGCTGGTGCTAGAGCTTGATGAGCTGCTCGTGCTGGTGGTTGACGTGGATGTTGAAGAGGTGCTCGAGGTTGTTGAAGTGGTAGTCGAGCTGCTTGTACTGCTTGTAGATGTGCTGGTGCTAGAGCTTGATGAGCTGCTCGTGCTGGTGGTTGACGTGGATGTTGAGGAGGTGCTTGAGGTTGTTGAAGTGGTTGTCGAGCTGCTTGTACTGCTTGTAGATGTGCTGGTGCTAGAGCTTGATGAGCTGCTCGTGCTGGTGGTTGACGTGGATGTTGAGGAGGTGCTTGAGGTTGTTGAAGTGGTTGTCGAGCTGCTTGTACTGCTTGTAGATGTACTGGTGCTAGAGCTTGATGAGCTGCTCGTGCTGGTGGTTGACGTGGATGTTGAGGAGGTGCTTGAGGTTGTTGAAGTGGTAGTCGAGCTGCTTGTACTGCTTGTAGATGTGCTGGTGCTAGAGCTTGATGAGCTGGTTGTGCTGGAGGTTGACGTGGATGTTGAGGAGGTGCTTGAGGTTGTTGAAGTGGTTGTCGAGCTGCTTGTACTGCTGGTAGATGTGCTGGTGCTAGAGCTTGATGAGCTGCTCGTGCTGGTGGTTGACGTGGATGTTGAAGAGGTGCTTGAGGTTGTTGAAGTGGTTGTCGAGCTGCTTGTACTGCTTGTAGATGTGCTGGTGCTAGAGCTTGATGAGCTGGTTGTGCTGGAGGTTGAAGTGGATGTTGAGGAGGTGCTGGAGGTTGTTGAAGTGGTTGTCGAGCTGCTTGTACTGCTTGTAGATGTGCTGGTGCTAGAGCTTGATGAGCTGGTTGTGCTGGAGGTTGACGTGGATGTTGAGGAGGTGCTTGAGGTTGTTGAAGTGGTTGTCGAGCTGCTTGTACTGCTGGTAGATGTGCTGGTGCTAGAGCTTGATGAGCTGGTTGTGCTGGAGGTTGACGTGGATGTTGAGGAGGTGCTTGAGGTTGTTGAAGTGGTAGTCGAGCTGCTTGTACTGCTTGTAGATGTGCTGGTGCTAGAACTTGATGAGCTGCTCGTGCTGGTGGTTGACGTGGATGTTGAGGAGGTGCTCGAGGTTGTTGAAGTGGTTGTCGAGCTGCTTGTACTGCTTGTAGATGTGCTGGTGCTAGAGCTTGATGAGCTGGTTGTGCTGGAGGTTGACGTGGATGTTGAGGAGGTGCTTGAGGTTGTTGTGCTGCTGCTGGTGCTCGTCGTGCTGGAGCTTGTTGTGCTAGAGCTTGTTGTGGTAGTGGTGCTTGAACTGCTTGTAGATGTGCTGGTGCTAGAGCTTGATGAGCTGGTTGTGCTGGTGGTGGAGGTGGAGGTTGAACTGCTGGTTGTCGTGGTTGTACTACTACTGCTGGTGCTGGTGCTGCTTGTGGACGTCGAGGAACTGCTTGAGCTTGTAGAGGTGGTCGTTGAGCTGCTTGTGGAGCTGGTTGTGGTGGACGATGTCGAAGAGCTCGACGTTGAAGAAGAGGATGTTGAAGTAGTCGTACTACTGGAGCTGGTGCTGGTGCTTGTGGTGGTGCTGGTGGTGCTGGAACTGGAAGAGCTGCTGCTGGAAGTGGTGGAGGAAGTGGATGAGGAGGTGGTGCTGCTGCTGGTGCTGCTGCTGCTGCTGGAGGAGCTGCTGCTGCTGCTGGAGCTCGTGCTGGAGGAAGAGCTGGTGCTAGTGGTGCCTTGGGACAGACAAACGGCTCCAAAGCAATTCCAGCAATTCAACTTTCGGATGGCCAACAACTCATCCAATTGTTTGATGGATGATGCCAGCCCTATAATCCCTCTTTCCTTTTCCCCAGGTGAATGCCAGGGGCTCAAACGGTTTCCATGCGAGTTCTAATTTTAAGCAGAGTCGCTGGGAACGCCGAAACGACTGGAACGTGTGCCCCCCGCCAACCCCGGAAGGGCCCTCCCTTCGGCCGTGGGTTGGCTGTTTTTGGTCCTCCTTGGTCCTTAAGCCCGCCACTTCACGCCAGTGTTTTGCCAAGCGGCTTGAAGACGTGGAGGTAGAAGTGGTGGAAGAGGAGCTGGAGGTCGTCGAGCTAGTACTTGACGTAGAGCTGCTAGTACTGGTGCTGCTTGTGCTGGAAGATGTGGTGCTGGAACTGCTGCTGGTGCTGGTGCTGCTTGTACTCACCTGACACAAACAAGACTCACTGCCGAGGGCATGGTACAATTAGGGACCCTGGGACGCTTGAATACTGCCAATTCGTGTGCTTTCATAAAAGGAAGGTGGGATGTGCAAGTCTCGGTTGCAAAATGGCAGAGAACTGGGATCCAACCACAAGGAGCGTCCCAGTTGCCACTCGGAGCGATGCCCAAATGGAACAATTCCTGTATAAGGGGTTGATATGGATGGGGATGTATTGCAAGTTTGCAACCATGATTTCTCGCCACTTGGGAAACAGAAAGTCTGGAACAATCAATGTGGTTCCTTTTGGAAATCAAGGAAGGTGGCATGTTCGGCACTCAGCGGCTTGCAGATTCGGGCTGTGTCCGTGACACCTCCCAATGAGTTTTGGGGGGGACGCCAAATGCCCAGCTTTGGACCCTCGATAGGCCCGATAGGCCCCTGGCTCACGTCCTCACAGTCTCGGCTTTCGCAACCGGACGCGGTTCAAAGCTGGCAGAATGAAAGAAAGCAACTGCCGTCAAGTTCCTGCGTTCCGAGCACCGTGCCTCGCGGTAAAAAACACCGCCTCTTCAGGACGAGTTTTGGGAGGGGCGAAAGAAGTCCTGCAGCGCTGGGAAAGCTCAAAGGGACTTTCCTGGTGCCTGGACCGGTGCCAAACCTAGTTGGATTTTTTTGCGACAACCCAGCAGGAACGGGCAATTCCCATGGATTTTGCACTTGGGCCTATCCTTTCTTCGAGGGTACCGTTCTTGCGGGTGGCTGTTTCAGGGAATCCCAAGTTAAAACGCTCATGAGCGTCCCCAATTTTGAGACAGACCCACTTGGGCATGTGTCAAAATAGGCGCCCTCAAGATGATTGTTTTGTTCAGTTTGCCCTTCCCCGAAAAGGGTATCCTCAACAAACAAAGCCTTATTCCTGACATGTGGCTGTCGAGCTTGTACTTAAGCTGGTACTGGTGGTGGTTGCGGTACTGCTACTGCTGCTTGTTGAAGTCGACGAGGTGCTGGTCGTGGTGGAAGTGTTGGTGAATGTCGTGGTAGTTGTGGTACCTGCGCGCTTCAGCTTGAATCTTGAATCTTAAATACTGGCCCGACTGAAATTTCAATCGGTTTCAGGCGGGGCCAAGACTCAAGCTTGCAGGGAAGACTTTTATAGGGGATTCGAGAATTGAATCTTAAATATAGGCTGGGATTATGTCATTGTCAAATTCTGTTTAAACTCCAACTTAATTGCAAAATTGCAAATATCTAAATTTATGAATTTGAGACACGATGTCCAAAAGGATTATGAGCAAGTATGTCCTTATTGAGTCCAATTTAAGTAAGTCTACACTGCACGCCATTGAACCTCACCTGATCTAGGAAAGACAAACCGATCCAAAACAGCGAACACAGTCTGCAATGCAGCTATTCACAAGCAAGCAGGCACTCCTGATTCAGTTAACTCTGCAATTCGATTGATCGAGGAAAAACGAAGAAAATATGGGTGTGTTTCAAAATAGAGAGCCTCAAAAAGCGTTTTTTTGTTGGGGGGTTCATCATCCTACTGTCCTCATCCATTCAAGCCTGGACACGGGAAAGAAACTGCCAGCCCACTTCCAATTGGGTGGGTGGCCCACTTCCCACCCTCCAATCTACCTAAATCTGTCTCTGTGAGTTGGTACTTGAAGCCAGCCAGGCCAATTTTGGCCCCATTGCAAGGCACCAGCTCACCCCTACCCACCTCCCCCACCTCCCCCACCTCCCCCACCTCCCACTCTCAGCCCTTAGCATCGGCTCGAGTCGGGCGCACAGATGGGAAGCTGCTGCTGAGGGATCAGCAGCTTCGCGCCAAATTGCAAGCCGTCGGGGATCCGCGCCTGAAGCCCGAAGCCCGAAGCGCGTTCCGTGCCCGCGGAACGGGGGAAGAGTTGGAACCCCAAAGAAAACCAGAAAGGTTTCGTTGGGCTGTTCTCAGGTTCGTTCCCTCATTCCCTGAGCACCAGCAAGTTTTGGGATGCTTGCAAAACTGGAGCTTCGAACTGGCGCTGGAGAAGCCTTCCGCCCTTTGGACAAGTCAACAAAGACCTTCCTGCTGGGTCATGTCGGATGGATAATTAAATGAAACCGACCAGCTGGAGAGGTCCGTAGTGTGGAACCCACCCGAATGCATCTCGTCCTTGGGCACTAGTCTGTGACGGCCGAGACCATCTTGGCTGCTACTTGATTTGACCAACGGGCGAGCCATTCACCGAAAACTAGCGGGGCACCCAAAACATATCTGTAATCATACAGCAGTTGGCTCATCAAACTGAGGACCCAGCTAAATATAGTTCGTCTGCCACACGTGTCACTGGATTCCCCCACATCTAAAACGCATCAAGGAAATGGATCCTAGGGCCTTTTTCGGAGGTTGCGAGAGAACCAGCAACTTGACCGCCCAAACGCGGTCAAAGTTGGATTTCTGAGTCGCTACCTTGGACAGCCTCTCTCAGCAAGGCAGGCCCAAGATTGCAGCTGACTGGTCTATACCTGACCACTCACATGGCAATGGGAGTAGCTCAGCTCCGCGGCACGATGCATGGCCAGCAAGCATTGAAAAGAGATGAAAGGAGTCGCCGGGTGACAAAATTGGGGAACCTGCCAAGAGCTTGGTTAGCTGTGTCTTCCCAACAGGATTGCCAATTCACTTTGACAGGTACGCAGTCAAAAGACATACCCTGCCAAAGCCGGGGCGTGGTGCAGCCCCGGGCGTGGTGCTGCCCGATACGCTTCCCTACTGGCCTCTATGGCTCTCTTCCACTAATCCAGAAAATAGGGATGCCCCAATAAATTGCAGATCTCCCTGTCGCCGTCTGAATTCCAGACCCTAAACAGCCACCCAAAAGGAAGACACCTCAAAAAACGGACACCTCAAAAAAGGGGCACGTGACGCTTCCGCCCTTCGACCTGAATCCATGCCAAGCGGCGTGGCGGCAAGTCCGCGCATCGAGGGGGTGAATTTCCGCGGTCAGGGCCACTGAGAGTCCTGCGCACGTCCCTCTGGCATAATGATTGAAACCCCGTTGGAAATGTACACGGCTCAACATGTGTAACCGTTGGCTTCCTGAGAGGTGTAAACTGGCAACGGAGCGACTGGCAACCTATCTGGCGGGATCCCCTCAGAGACTGGTATCTCCTACAAATCAAGGGTTCTCTGCCGACGGGAACTGTGCTTCTTCTGTTTTGTTGGGTTTTATATGTGCGCTTGTTTGCTTTCTTTGCTTGTTTTTCCCCAGATAGCTGAAAGCTAAAAGAGATTCTTGCATCTAAAGCGAGTTCGAGCCGGTTTGGGCTGGTCAGGGCGCTCAAGGTGCTATGGTGGTTGCTGGTTGTGCCCGTTTTGCGATGTGGGTACTGTTGTGGGTACTGTTGCGGGTACTGGTTAAAGTGCTGGTCTTGGTGCGGGTGCTGGTCAGGGAGCTGTTTGGTGTGCTCAAGGTGCTGTGATGCGGTGGTTGCTGGCGGAGCTTGTTTGGCGATGCAGCCAGGGCGCTGCTTTGGGTGCTGATCCTTTTGACGTGCTCAAGTTTGGCTGCGATGCAGTCAGAGTGCTGGTCAGCAAGCTAAAAGCAGAGCTCCCACTTGAATAAACCATGAATATATCAATCGGAATGGCCCCAGAAAGGGAACTGTTCGATTTCCTGCAGCCTCCCACCATCTCCTGCCAGAAGCCATACATATCGGGCCATCAGTCAAAGATATTCGCCAATCACCTTGGCCGCAAGGGATCTGCGGATGATCGACGAAACCACCGTCATAACAAGCAGGAAAAAGTCCCTCCCCCCAACCAATCACGCCACCGAACACATCGATTTCACAAAAGCACAACAAACACACAAAATCACTCATCCTGCCGATCACCAAACAAGCGACACCAAACCCAAAATGGAGGAACAAGTGCTGCCTATAAGCGCCGCACATTCCCACTCGGCACTACGGCGAGGGGAAGTCGCAGGGCCGCAGGGCCGCAGGGCACGGGGAGCGCGGGACGTGGGGCCACTTCCAGTCTTTCAAGGCCTCCTGAGTCTGTCGGATGAGAATTGGAGAAGTGAATTCGCAACTCGTGTTGCCTTGACGTTGTGTTTTTTGCTGCTGTCTGGTTAGTGCAGTGCTTGTTGCGTTGCGCCATCTGTGGCCTTGGGCCTGCCCCACCCCTTTGCATCTGGCCTTGGGCCTAAGACCACTGCAGGTCGCGGTCGGCTTTGAGACACCAAAAGGCCAAACTCAGCGAGGGACCCTTCCCTATCGGCCGCTCTTTGAGCGGCAACAAATCTCTTTGCACTGACATATCCAACTTTGCAGGGTGTTTCACTTCGATTCTCAAAGAAACATAAGTTTTCTAGGGGCTGGAAGAGGCCAGCCCAGCATTGGCTCAAACCAATAGAAAGATATGCGCAAAAAAATACAATGAGCCAAAATTGGGCCTAAACATGTTTCACTGTGAGAATGTCCTTTATGCATGTTTGACCAATCAACCTAGAGCTTGCAGCTGTGACATAAGCCCTTCTTCGAGTCTCTCC